ACAAGGACAGGCTTTCATAAATTCGCATTGATTGCGTTCAATTAAAATTCAGTTATGCTCCGACGGCGGCGACCAGGCAGCTACAGAGGGAATATTTTAATTAATTTTCACGCGCTCAGCACAAAATATTCGTTGTCAAACCGAAAAGTACATTTTGTGCGTACGAATTCCCATTTTCCTGGCTCTGGTATTTTATGCGCATTTGAACAGCATCAGCCTGATGCAAAATAATGTCATGTCTGTCATTTTATCCTTTTTTTGTTGTGGCCAGCTTAATGTCAAAAACTGGAATCTGTGGCCTCAGCAATTTCTATTCAAACTAAAGACGGTCTGGTCTGATGGTTTAATCTAAATTCGATTCGGTACTGTAATATACTTTTAGGCTTTTTCTTTTCCATTTAGAACCCTTTAAGTCCGACTGTTGTTCCTCGTTGTAGCCTCTTCAAAAGCGCATCGATTGGCTTTTAAAGATACAGTATAAACAGTTTGTCCCTCTCCCGCGATACCTCCATCCATCTTTCTGTCTGTCTATATCTGTGGCAGCCATCAACATCACCATCCGTCCGACCCCTGTTCGTGTACATAGATACTTTGTCTAGCATTTCAATTGGCAAACATACTTGAGCTCTGGCAGCTACACGAGTTTAGAGCTGAATGAGGGCGAAAAAAAGATACCGCCGCACCGTCACACGCTGCGAAAATAAACAACGACCTTATACACCCAACCGCACAACCATCCTCATCCCTGTTCTCCTTCAGGTCTTCACGCAGTGGGAGAGCCCGAGACCCGAAAGCCAAAAGCCTTTCATCTACTTCAGTGCTCAAGTGGCAACAACAGCAGCACTACGATGCACAAACAAGGACAAGGAGAGTGTGATTTTCGAAAATGGCAAAAGTATGTTTTCCAAATCTGACTTTTCAAGGCCACCACCAACCATCACGAATGCGGCGGTCGTTGGGTGGTTCCTTGCATGGTTCTTTGCCACAATGCAGTGCAAACTTTGACGCAATTTCAAGTCTACTTTTGGGGCCAAGTTGTCGCCTGAATGACAGTTGTTGATTTTTCAAATTATTTGCCAAGGCTGTTCCCCGAAATGATGATGCATTCCATTCCCCAGCAAAGTCTCAGCCCCAAATCCATGTCAAGATGGCACAAACTCTTCAAATAAAGCATAGATAGAGATGGAGATAGATATAGATGTATTTTTGAATGTGTGCCCTGTCGGCAATTTAAGCTGTTGTTGCTGCTGTTTATTCTAAAACTTTGCTCTCGACTCTATGGAAATTTATAGTTTCTGCTGCCTTGGCCTGACGGTTTCATATAGCACATAGCACACAACGACTAATAGGTTTTCTTTGGCCATAGACTTAGTCAAACTGTTGGCTCTTCTTGTGTTTTGTCTGTGCAAATTTACTTCGAAGCTCTTCCATCCATCCCCAGCTGAAGTCGTAGTCGCAGTGCGAGTCTGAGACGCAGTCGGTGTCGGTGTCGGATTGGTTTGGTTTGGTTTGGTTTGGGTTCTGTTTATAAATAGTTTAAATTTACATTGTGGGTTCGCTTGAGGGAAAACTTTACAGACTGACGCTGCTGACGAGAAGCCTTTTCATTTGCCAGAATCCGTTGCTTCTTCTGCCAACAAATCTCTCTGCTCCATTTCAGATCATATTTGTCCGCACATTAAATACAAATAAAAGATACATATGTATGTAGATTCAAGTGAGTGTGAAAACATAGAACAACCGCAGTAATCGTTAATTAAGAACTAGGAAAAAGTTGTCCTTGCTGGTCGCTAATTAAATAATCCACCAAAAGTCAAGCAATGCGCCAGGAAAAAGTTTTCCCTAGCCTCTTCCCACAGGTTTCCCATCGTAGTTTTTTTTTCCTCATTTTTGTTTCTGTTTGCTGCTAATCTATGCAAAGTTGGCCGGGCGAGCACAAAAAACTATTATGGAATTTCATTGAAAGTTAAAGTCAAAAAGTCGCGCTGAAAAAATCCTAACGAAGGGCGCAAAAGAGAAGCAAAAGTTTCTCCCCGGCTATAACGAGTCAAAGTTTCAGTGCTGCTGATGAACTATGCGACTGGACCGGAACATGGTCACATATGTGAATCGGGCAATGCAGGAGTAGGAGACGGAAAGGATGCAGGCTTGATGGCATCTCTACCAACGTGGAAACCTGTCAGTTTAAGCCGCTTAGAGAAGGGGAGCTTTCTTTTTTTAGGGGGGAATCTGCATTCGCATATTCCACTTGTGCGAAAGCGTAATGTTTATGAATATTATTCTCAATTTTTGTTTACTGCTTTCGTAATCAAAAATATACATATTTGGGCCACTAAAATTAATTACACTTAACCCCCTACACCCACAAAAAGATTGGGACATGATTGTGTTATCAGGGCTGCAGAACCACACAAAAAACTATACCCAAAATAAATTAAATCCAGGGAAACACAAGAGGAAAGCTTGTTGAGGTTTCTTATGGTGTTTCGGGGGGTTCCCCAACAGTAGAGGCTGTGCAGCCCTGGTAGGTCTCTATTCTGAGTGGTAGAGAGGGAGAGAGAAAGAGATACGTAGAGAGATAAAGTCATGAATACAAAATGTGCCGCAGCTTTTGGTTTTGCGGCTGAGTTGGCAGTTCTACTGCCCTGCTACCATCCCGTGCTACATCCCTACAACTCTCTGTCTCTCACACATGGCAAAACTCATTTCATGGGTCAAGAGCTGCAATCATCTGAACTATAGAATGCGACATGGAGAGAGATAGAGAGAGAGAGAGAAAAAGAGAGAAAGAGAGGCAGAGAAACTGTGCAAAAATTGATTATGGTGGCAGCAACACTGCAATGCCCCACAGCAGCATCCGCACGGCCGTGGCCAAGCAACTATCATCAAAATCCTATTAGTTGGATCTCCACCGTACTGCTGTGCGACCGGCTTTGTCCTTGTCCAGTTGCCTGCATTTTGTCAGCGTTTATTTGGCAAATTAATTCCCCAAAAGGTAAGCCAAACTTGCGATTTGAAACAATCAGCGACCCCCCGGTCCAAGGTCCAGGGTCCAATCCAACCCCAGAAACTCTCCACTCTACGCAGCTTCAGAGTCCTTTTGTCCTTTTTCTGTCCAGCTGCAGCTGTTGTTTGCCCCGGCAGCCACAAGAGAGACGATGGCACGGGCACAGCAGTGCCGGCAAAGAGGGCTCACATGGGCTAAGGATTTTCAGACGACCCCTTTCGAAAGGGCTGGTGACTACGCTTCTGAGAAAAAGCAAAGCAAAAGACACACACACAATTTGTGACAATTCCTTTTTGCGGATTAATATTTGCTCTGTCCCGGGTCCCAGGTCCCTAGTCCCTGGTCCCTGTTCCCTGGTCTCTCACCGGTTGCGCCTTTATTTGTCTCGCTGCCCTTTTCCTGTTTCCTGCCTTTTCCCCACTTCATGCAAATTAACTTGGAGAAATTTTTTGGGATCTGGCGGAAGCAGGGAATATGGGAAGCCCGAAACGCATGAGCCCCAAAAAGGAAACCCTCTTCGAGATAATTATTTGTTATGTTGTGCTCATTGTTTTAGGACTTAATTATGCTGCAGGAGCTTCATTCCCCCTTTGTCCGCTTCACTGGTCCACTGATTATTACGGCGGATAAGCCAAATGGGTTTACTTTCATATTTTTAAGCTCACCCCTGATGGAATAAACTCAAGTTTGAGGCATGTGAGTCATTCCACCTGAAAGAGAAATCGCATTTAATTTGATTTTTTCTTCGTACTTCATCAATGCAATAACTTAATTTATGAAATGAGCGCAATAAATCAGTTTCTTTGGCCGAGAACTTCACTTAGTTGATTGCCCCCTAAAAAGCACAAGGCAATGAAAAATTGCTGACTTCTTGCAAGGAGTTGCTGCCCCTCGTCCACACTTTTTGCAGGGTGGACTAGACTGACATCCATCCTGATATATGGTGGCGCATGTATGCGAGCCAGAAAGAGACAGAGAATTAATTCTTGTTCGTTTCTGGGTCTATATGGACCTAAGACCCCCGTTGATAGACAGTAATTCCCTTAGCAGAGGGGCTGCAACACGTTTCCACCTGCGATCCACCGCACCGCACCGCACCGCATCGCAACCGACCAAGTCCAAGACGGTGCCCCAATGTTTGTCCACACGATGTTGCAACAACCAGCCAGTCGGCCAAATGTCAACACTTTACTTTACTTACGCTGCCTTTACCCACATAGCGATCCGATACGATGCGAAACGATACGATACGATACGATTCGATCCGATGCGAGCGATCGATGACGAAATGGAAGTGGAAACTTGGAAACTTGGAAACTGCCGCTGCAAGTGTTCAACAACTGCTGAACAACTATCGTAGTGCTCTGTTCTCTTGGCTGCCAGCAGATTGGCCAACTAGCCAGCAACAGCAGACACGATGGCAATAGGATTGCGAAATATTCGCAAGCCACTCAAATCAAGTTTCGTTTTCCCCCTTCAACGAAAGCCGCGCTTAAAATATGGAAATCGAAATTGGGCTTTTCATTCGGCTCAGTTTTCATTTGCAGCTCGCTAGAGCTGGTCGACATTGGGCATTAGACATTGGCAGTTCCTGAAATATTGACCACAAACAAATACGCGCGTTTACGATGAGTGTGCACTTGGAAAGGTCTTGGATTGTGATGGGGCTCTTGGCCTTGGCCATTTCTCTAGTTCGTGGAGACGATGGGTTCCTCACAGAGCCGCGTAAGTGTAGAGTGATGGATGATGATGGGAGATGATGGATGACGAAATGGTGATCGATGATATTACTACTCATAATTACTCTGTAAATTTCTCACAATTGGAGATCCTGCCCCCGAGCTTTGGCCATAATACGCATCTGTGACTAACCCACTTATGAAACGAAATCTGCCATATGAATTAGCCAAAAATATTGCACCACTAAACCGGATCTCTGTTTCTCTGCCTTCTCTCTGTGTTTTGTATTTGTTTTGCCTTACCCCCCACAATCGCACTGAAAACGAAATACGAACTACGAAACAAATTCGTAATCGAAACTTCTACTCGAACCGCAGCAGATTACATCAAAGAGTGTAGGATAGCCGATAAGAACTTTGTCAACTGCTCCACCCAGAGCATCCAGCAGCTTTTCGACAAGCTCAACGACGGTGAGTAGCAGTCCCAGGCCGTAGTCGATCCCACACAAATTCGGATACCTTTCGCAGGCATACCCGGCCTCACCAGCATCAAGAGCTTCGATCCCTTCCACCTCAACCGCATCCGGATCACGCAGGGCAACAGCAACGCCATCAATCTCAAAGTGGAGCTGGCCAATGTCAAAATTGTGGGCTTCGGCCATACCCATGTCCTAGAGAGCCAGTGAGTAGTGCGATTATCAGAGATTGTGAGAAGAATCCCGATTGAATGATATTACTAGGGTTTTCAAGAAGGACTACAGCTGGAAGACCACCTTTACACTGCCGGTTATGAAACTGAAGGGCGACTACAGTCTGTTTGGACGCATTCTACTCATCCCGCTCAATGGCAGGGGACAGGTCTTCCTGGATGCGGACAACATGACGGTTACCATGCACACCAAGACGCGACTTTATTCCAAGGGCGGTTTCACCTTCTACAATGTGACCAACTGTCGCGTAGACTTCAAGATAGATGGCCTCAAGTCGTACTTCTCCAATTTGTTTAACGGCAACAAGCAATTGGGTGAGTGAGATCCACTATAAGCGTTCTATACTCATTGATCCATCTATTTTAATTCCTGCAGAGGACAGCACCAACAAGTTCTTCAACGACAACTGGCGCATGCTGGCGGATGCCCTCTACACAGTCATCACCCAGACCATTGAGGATATTCTGCTAGACGTGCTGAAGAAGATTTTCCATTACATTCCAGCCAACTACTTTGTCAGCGATATTCCAACGCCCGAACAGCTCTACGGGAAGGCCAAGCCGAAGCCCAAATGAAGAAATAAGCTACAACCACTGGGATCTGGGAACGGATACAGATGGGAATGGCAACGGGAATGGGAATGGGAAAATCGGGAAAGGTAAATCTTTAGTTCAGTTAATAATAAAGTGTGCGAACAAAAAAATAGCTCGAGCAACCCTTTTACGTACCAGCAATCAGGTACATACGCAGACACGCATGGAGCAGAGACAAAAAGGTTTCCTGCTGCCTCCTCCGCAAGGCATTAGTGTCCTTCAACTGTTGCCTTAGTTGTCGTACGATGGCGGACAGCATGGAAGTCGCAGACTAATGGTGGCACCTCAGTCAGACAGTGTCCGGCCAAGTCCGGTCAAATATATCAGGATGGAAGTCACGGACCGAGCAGACATTCAGCAAAAGCTAGTCGGTGCATCGCCCTTATACTCCCCGATATAAAATACGATTGCATACTGCACAAATAGAGCCATAACAAAGGGCTATAGAAGCAATGCGATGGAATGGAATGTGGACTCCTCCGTGCGTTGAGGGTAACCGCACATATGCCAAAGTCAAAACCGGAACCAGAAACGCGACCAGAAATAAAGGCGAGAGCCGTGTGTTCAAATTAATTGCCGCAAACAGACCCCAGACCCCAAATTAATTTACATTTTTTATGCAGATTTTCGTTTTAATTTTTTTATGCCCGCTACTGGGTACTCCAGTAAAAGAGTATATCCAGTATATGGTTTTCGAGTACTTATTCTGGACTCAGCTGCCAACAGAGGAGTTCAAGTCTCGATTTTTGAGACTATAAGTTATAGAGGAAAAACATCATAAAAATCCTATGTTTCAGTCAATATTATTAAAAGAATATTTCCAACTTCCCCGTGCCATTTTAGACTGATTTTTGTTGGTATATTTTAGTCGGAATATCCTGTCGGGCACTCACACTTTTTGAGGTTTGAGGCCTCATTGGCTTTTTGAAGCCTGCCAATAATTTGTTGCAACGGCTGCTGTTGTTCTTGTTGCTGCTGTTGCTGTGCAGATGCCGCAATTAAAACGTTTGGCGCAGCGGCCCAACCATTACAAATGCCAAACAATTAGTTTAAATTTAATGCGCAATGCGTTTTCGGCCTTTTAGTTGCAACATTCTGCGGTTTGCGGTGCCTCTTCCTGCTGCTGGCCCCCCGCCCCAGCGTCCAGTGTGATGTGTGCCTTTTTTTTCTTGAAAGCCTGGCAACAGTCAAAGCGACAAATCTCGTGCGTGATTGCAATAAATTCGCCGAGTTGTGGGCCCCGAAAATGCAGCTGGAACACACAAGGTAAACAGAAAATAGCACGAGCAGAAGGGCCAGAGTAGAGAAGAGACGAGAAGAGGATCCCCAGCAGACAATGGGAAAACCCAAAAGACAAACACGAAAGGAAAAACTATTCCCAGAGTGTATGGCAGAAGCAGGGCATTGCGGAAACAGTCGCCGAAAGTATTTCAATATTCCCAGCCAATGTTGTTCAATATTTGCTGTGCCTGTGCCTGTGCCTGTGCCTCTGTTGCCGAGTGCCACATACAAACCTCACTCGATGGGGGCCAACGTGCTTTGTGACGGCTGTGCCTCGTTTCGGCCTAAAAATATTCTGTGATTTTTAAAGCTCCCGCCCCAAAAGCGCGCCTTTAATTTGAAAATCTTTGAAGAATTTGTTTCATGCTCACTTAGACTTAGGATTTTAAATGAGCATAGATTTAAATATGTGCATATGTTTGAATACGCTCTTAAAGAGTACAGTCAACCATTACAAAGATGCCTTGGGTGCTTAGAACCCTCTATCCCATTTTTACAGTTAACCAACGTTCCTTAAGGTTTAATCGGGTAAAAAGTTCATCAACGATGTTAAAATGCGACACAAACGTCGTTCCAAGGGACCGCCCGCACTTGACTAATGGCCCAATTAGATGCCATAAATTAAATATTTAATTATAATGTCCACTGTCGTTGGCCAATTAATTAATACATAATTTCAAATTAAATGCTGTCACTGCACAAGAGTTAATTCAGCAGCATCGAGAGCATCCTGCAAAACAGGGAAAAATGTGCCACACTGTAGTGCATGGGAGTGCATGAACTTTAAAGCCCGAATAATACGAATTTATGGCCAAATAATTGCAATCTCATTAGGACACTCGGCCGGCAAACCGAAACACGGACATGACACGGACACCGGCGGTCCGAGCGGGCCAATTTGCCGTGTGTTAAAATAAATATTCGCATTTTGTGAAATATTTAACAATAATTGAGCGTAAAATAATCGCCCAGTCCCGCCCTCGATGGAGATAAAGGTCCTGCGACCGGCCCCGGCTGTGATACTGTGTGCATCCAGCATGCATATTCAACGACATGAATACCGGACCGGCCAGGTCCCCATGGCTGGAGTGCGTTAATTGCAGTTGCCGTTGCACAGGACACGGATTGCGGCGACAGCGACAATTGTAATTAAATAGACACCACAAATGCACCCCCGAAGGACGCCGCACCCCTTCCCCCAAACAGCTGGGGGAATGTGGAGCCATGGCATCTGTGGAACTTTCAATGGAAATTCCTCCATAAAGATAAAATATTCTGTTGGAATTCCAAGTTGGAAGTTGGGTGATGTGATCAGAATTTGTCCATTAATCGAAACCACAAAGGAATTCGGGAAGAATATATAAAAAATTCGGATCCAAAATAGAATCGAGAATAAACACATAATAGAAAATAAAATTAAATAATTTAATAATAGATGAGAGGAGTTTGTGCCTCAAATTTATTTCATTGTTTTTTGTACAATACGATGCACGAATCGTTATGGGAGATGTATTAAAAAATGTCAGATTTGTTTGTGGACTGGGTCTTGTAAATTTCTAAGTACTTTTTTCATTATATTTTTAATCACTTCAAATCACATTTCACCCACTGTACCTGCTTGCTGTTCATTTATTGGAAATTATTGAGTTGTTGGCATTAATTTTAGCGCACACATAGGTGGAAAATAGTAGATGGCTAACGCCCATTGGTTTGCTGGCAATTTTGGAGCGTTTAATGAGCTCGTCCACGTTAATGGCAATCTCGTAAAAATAAACAACATTTCGGTTCGAGCCGATGGCTTGGCGGCCCCAGAGCCATTAGGCCGAAGTGTTGGTCATTGTCATTGGATGAATTGGGCTTATCACCACACTCCCAAACCCCCACCCCGATTACGTTGAGAGCTCCATCAATATTCAGCCAGTATTCCGGCTTATTTGCACAAATTTTGTTGACACACGCAGACACGAAGATCTCCCCAATCGCGAAGGGAACAAACAATCAGGGAATGGCAGGGAGACGAGCTTAGCAGACTTCCGCAGGAGCAGGAGTAGCGGCAGGTGGCAGCCAGAGGCAGTCGCACCGCTTTACAAGATTTTATTTACACCTTCTGCGAAAATGTTTACACTTCAACAGACAGTGGCAATAAGCGAGGAGTCCGCTCCAGGTCCTCCTTCAGCCCGAAATGAGCAATATGTAAACCTCCAGGATGCCAAAGGCAGGGCCCCAAACAATTGAAAGTGGATTTCCACCTGGAAAAAAATGACTCAAACGGCAACGAGCGCTGGAATAAAAAGAAGCCCCTTAAAAAATACGGAAAATGCCAACGGGCCCTGCATAATGCGAGGAGATATAAGTGTAAGGGCGAACTAGAACTAGGGAGATGCCTTGGACTACCATTGAGACCGGAGGCGGAAGAAGAGGTCCTTGTCATAGCGTAAATTTATGTAAAAATTTGTAGCAATTGCAATAAGTTGGTCGACGGCGATGACGACGCCGCTGGCGGCTGTTAGGATGAGAATTTTGCGAGCAGGAACAAATAAATTCTTTCGATTCCAGTCAGTTTTTTATGCGCACATTTTAAGTGTGGATAGAGAGGCTGTCTGTGCCCAGTGGAACGCCCTACCCGTACCTCTGGGACTCAATCATATTAAACGAGCACAAAGACAGGGTATAAGTTTATTTTAAACGAATTATAACTTAGCAAAAACTGATTACCAAATGCCTGCGATTATTTGCAAAGCTCTTCATGATGTCTGTGCTCTGATCCCAGAGCCCGGACCAGAGCCAATAATGTAAAGACAAAAATGCCAAAGACATTGAAAATTAACTCTCAGCTGGCAAAATGCTTCAAAGTGCAAATATTGGGCTCGGTCTAGGTCTAGAGCGGGCCCTTTGACTGCCTTCAAACTCCTCTTTGGGCCAAAAGAAAAGAATGCCTGTAAACGAGGGCCGAGTATACAGATACCCTTGCAGATCCATCTAGTGTTTCAATTACAGTGAGGAAGTCATCCTATTACTGATTTTTTGTCCACAGTTCCCATAAACGAACGGGACTCCCATCCGAATGGAACTATGATTTTGGAGTCTCGAAAAGGCAGCCTTGTCACTGTCGCATTGCATCCGTTATAAGTCATTGCACCCCATGAAAGGGTATAAAAAGTCTGAGACTTCATCAGACTTTACAGTGGTGATGGAGGGGGAGAGGGGGAGGAGGAGGAAAACTGTTACTCGCTGTAGTCGACTGTTATTTTTGGCAATCTGTTTGTTTGACGATTGTCTGTCTGTCAGTTATGCTGCTTATCTCTCGTCACAGTCCTATTCCCCTGTCCCTTGTCCCTTGTCCTCGGTCTGATTTAATAAGAATTCATTTCTCTTGGCTGGGTACGCCGTTTGTCTTCCCCTTTCTCGATGCAATTAACATAATTTTTGTAAGTGGATTTTCATAGTTGAACAAACTTCAGGCGGCATTTGCGAAAACTTTAAGATTCAATTCACTCAAGCTAGCGAAAAAAAGATAGTGAAACTTTCGGCAAAGGCATTGAACCCGACAATCAAAACTTGGATCCATCTATCCATCCATCTATCCGATAAAGCAACTGGAGAGACTGCAAATATAGTTTAACACCCTTTCGCCTTTCTTATTGCCGTGGCTGCCGACTGCTGACTGCCGCCCCGAGGGGCCACCATTTGCATTCCAATTGAAGTTTGATTTCGACTGCAGATCGGAGACGGAGCGAATGCAAATTTAGGGGCCAGGCCAGAGATTGGCAACCCAAAAGAACCGCCGCTTTCGGGGTTAAGGTCTCGCCGGAATCTTGAATTGAAATGTAGAAAGCGTCGCCGCCGCGAGTACAGAGTTTTGTGGGGACAGCGTAGAGAAGTGTTCAAAGAACTGCTCTGATATAATCTAGGGGCAGTTCAACGAACCGAAATCATATCTGGGTGTGGTCTATCATCATAACTATAACCCATTCGCGACAGTCACACTACTTCATTTTTTCAATACCTTAATCACGCGTCGCACTTTTCGTTGCTGGCTTATTGGCTCATCAATATTCTAAATCCTCCGCCGCCTCCCTTTGGATTGTTTTGCATATCTAACCCAATTTCTATCGAGTCGCGTCTCCGAGTCGAGTTTTTCTTCGAGTTTCACTCATCGGACTTTTTTTTGTTTTATTATCTCACATAATTTATGTACTGGTTATTCCAGCAGCAGAACTATTTAAATGCAATTTGGAAACGGATTTTGGCCGACTTGGTTGGGTCTGGGAATAGAATTAGAATCGGGTTTTATTTGAGCACCTGATTGGAATCGAAGAGCGTGGATCGTGGATCCCCAATCAATCTGCGACAATGTGACAATAATAATTGATAACCTTATGGCCGAAAAAAACCGACAACTCGATTGCATTTTATTTACAGAAACAGGCATCAGGCAGTGGAATAAATTCAATAAAAGTCACTCAAATGTCGATAATTGAATGCGTATACAACAGAAGAAACCGAAACAAAACCCGAAACAGAAACAGAACCGAGCGGAACGGAACGTACAAAAAATTAACATTTTTATATAACAAATTTAATTTGGACAATTCAAGCGAAACGATAATTGCATAAATTGTATTTGCATGGAAGGACACGGAGGAAGGTGCCGGTGAAGAGCAACTTTTGACAAACGTGAATCGCTTTTTATAGGCCTTCAAAAAGTGTGTGGAACAGCTCAATGAAGCATACAGACAAACGGAGGGGGTTCCATATTCATTATTCAAAGTAACACTCTTGACTTGAACTGCTGAAGCAATTACGATCAGGCCCCGTCCCCAAAATGATATAGGTGTAGCGCTATATACGCAGAGGAAGAGAACTCTGCTCAAAGGAGCCGCTACCCTCTAACTTATTGCACTTTTCTACGCGAGATTTATCGCCCAAGCAGCGAGGCAGGCCGGGCCTTAGATATATAGTGTGGGAAAAGCATTTATACAAGCATTTGTGTTTTTTTTGTCCGCATCCATGGAGTGACTCATGGAGCAGAACATTTTAGTGCTGCTGTCAACGACTCTCAAACTCTGGAGCTGAAACGATGTGCAGTGCATCCTTAATTACAGGCGACAAAAAGGAGGGATTCCCAGGGACTCCTCTCACTCTCACTCCTATACCTAGGGCTGTGCTGCTCTGGAAAAATTTTAAATACAAGTATTTTGTGCAAGTTTTTATTGTGGTTGATAAAGTTTTACTGGCAAGTTCCGCAGGCTGTGGTTACGTGGACTGCTTATGCAATTCGAGAGATCTACTTATGAATATGAGACCTGAATATTGTTGACTATTCACCCTGATACTTCCGAGTATCTGTCCAATCCATTCCAGCTGTCTAACATGTGTGTGTGAATGCTCTTCGGGGGCTCCTACACACCTACTACTCCTACCTCAACACCTATCGCTAAATCATTGTCGTCTGTTGCTCATCAGGCACACCCAATCTCCTTGCACTTGTCCTCCTGCTTCTCCTCCATCTCTGGGGCCATTATCATCGTCATCAATTGCGCTGCCTCCGCCGCTGGCTGCCTGCAGACAGCTTGTCACCGTCGTTGGCGTCGTCGTCAGGCAAACATGTGAATTTCGCAGTCGAGCAGGCAAACACGTGACGATGGGGGCGATGGAGAAACCACTGGGATGGGATGGTGATGCGGATGGGAATGGGAATGGGAATGGAAACGGGAATGGTAAGCAGCACAAGGCGACAATGACGACGTCAATCGTGCGACACAAGGCATTTTGCATACTAAACTACAGAGAGTGTTGGGTCTTGGGACGAGTCGACACACTCGGATCTTTATTGGGAGTCTCTGTCTTCTCTCGCATAACATTTCTCAGCCTAGGCTGAACCTCTTTAGGTTGTCGAATCCCTTGGACTTGTCAATGCGGCCGTATATGGTAATCCGCGAGATCATCTCGTTCTTGGGCTTGAGGATGAGGAGCACGAACCTGAAATTGGCTTCGGGCAGGAAGCTGGGCAGCATCTCTTCGTCCACCTTGTAGTTGTGGAGGCTATAGGTGCCGCTCCGGATTGGGCACTCCTTGAAGATATTGCCGTGCTTCAGCAGATCGTCGTACATGACCCGCACCAGGGGATCCGTGCTGCGCTGCTTTATCATCTTGCAGAAGTTGACGGTTCGATTGATCAGAGGCGAGAAGTTGCCCTTGTCCGTCTCCAGGCCCACATTGATCGATAACTGGACCTCCGGGAGGTCCGCATGAGTGGTGACGTCCACACTGACTCTCGAGTCGCCGGAGTCATTGTGCAGCTGCACGTTGAGGTCCACGATTTTGGCATTAGCCTCGAACTCGATGCCCGTGAGGATCACCTTGAAAGAACGCTGTCGGGGGGAGCGTTTAGTCGGAGCAGCAGAGTGTTTCCTCATCCCCTCACACGTCCGGGGCACGCCACGGAACTCACCCATGCCCCCGTCATGGGGCAAAGCACCAAGAGCAACAGCAGCACTCGGTAGTAGCAGCTTCGGATGCGCACCTCTCGCATCTTGTTTCAATTTACCCACTGGGACACTGGGATATTTTTTCAATTAGCCAGCACTTATATATTCGGGCCATTACACGATTAGTCAGGCCTCAATGGACACCAAAGCGGTGCGGGCATTAATCGATCGAATCGGTTCCATCGTCGACTAGCCACGGGGAATTAATTCAACTAAATGGAAATGGACTTTGGAAAGGCACTCAGGCATTTACAGTCACTCAATTTTCGATACGATCAGGGTCAAAATTACTTGGACAATTTTCCTGGAGCTGCCTGCGGACCTGCAGCCGCTATAAATAGCCACCCAGCCACAGAGAAGAGACAGTGAAGTTCCCGAGTTGGACCAAAATGTTGCTGAACACTCTAGCGGTGGTTCCAGTCCTGCTGGCCCTCTGCCAGGGATCCCTAGCCGAGGTGAGTTCTCAGCTGAAAAAGAAAATCAACAAGTTCTTGACCGATGGGTTCTTCCCCGTCAGAAAATGATGCGGCCCAAGTTCAAGGAGGTGAAGATCTGGAGCGACGAGAAGTTCGTCAGCCACAAGGTGGTGTACGACAGCAGCGATCCCCATCTCAACTTCTCCATGGAGGTGCACCAGGAGCTACAGGACGTCGACATCCACCTGGAGGTGCGAATCACCAATAAGGTTGACTCGCACTACACCACCAACCTGAACACCACCCTCAACGTGTGCCGTATTCTGGGTTTCGCGAACCAGTCCCCCGTGGGCCGCTTTGTCCACGGCTTCATCCGGGAGTTCGGTAACATCATCGACAACTGTCCCATTGCCAAAGTGAGTCTTCCCCCGTCCCATTCCACGCTGAGACAGTCTCCATCTCTGGACCCGTTCTAGGGCCGATACAAAATGCATCGCAAACTTCATCTTCACTTACACCGCACTCGTCAATTACAGGGCTCGTACTTCATCAACAAGTTCTGGTGGCCCGAGGATCCAACCACCGCCATGCTGCCCGAGCTCGAGTTCGACATCATCTGGCAGGCGCATCTGCTGGACGCCGCCAAGAAGCGCACTCTGATCATGAACGATCACTTCACTGGGGAGTTTAACGTTCAGGATGTGAATAACCTCAAGCCTGGCATCTTTGCCATGCTACCCAAGATCGCCTAGGAGCGCGTTCTTGCAATGGTCATTCCGGGATGACCCCTGCTTCCCCGGGATCGTCCACACATCGCCGCCTTCAGTAGTAGTGTCTGATGTCTCAATGGTACGAGTATTTCTGTATTTAGTGTCACGTTCGTGTCAAGTTCGGAGCGAAAGCAAATAAAGTTGTTTATTAAACAAGAGCAAGTCTCCCAATCCTCCATTGGGGAACTGAACTATAAGCTATGGTGTGGGGTTCCCCTAAATTCCGTACATTCATCCATCAGTGTCATCTTCTATTAGATTTTATGACATTTAAAACGTTTGAGTTTCCGATACGATTCGACATTTGAGGGCGTGACACTCGACATTTGCATGTTTTTGCACCATTCACAAATGGAATTAAAATGGAGCGAGACCCGGAAGGCCCTGATTCAAATCTGATGAAAACAAAAGGCCCACAAAAGGTCCAAACATCCCGGAATTATTATTCAATATATTCACAATGAAATGTTTGTGACTTGTGCGTCGTCGTGTTTATTGTGATCCGGCGTTGACGGTGTCAGTTTGCGAATTTTAAAAAACGCTTTCGGCTATTTGGCAGCTGCCCATTGAAGGTGGCTGTGGTGGCTCCCGGGGTATGATTTATGCCACTCATTGCTTCGGATTTACTGAGGAAGCAATAAAGCGACAGTAACAATGCCAAACGGAATGCTAACAAGTTGCCCCTGATTGCCAATCACAATTTCAATTTCAATTACCGCGCATAATGGGCCTCGAAAGGGGAATCGAAATACTCTCGCAGCACAAATCTCTCGACAAATCTGCACCCAAAAACAACTTTTATCAATTACGCCGAACGGGGAACACAAGAAAAGGTGCAAAAAGGTGAATATCATTGTGCTAAGCCCTCGAAAATGCCCCGAACCACAAACACAATGCATTTGTTTTCACTTTGTTGAACTTGGAAAACTTTTTCTACAGTCAAGAAAAAGTTCAGGGGTCAAGCCAACGGCCATTTAAGCTCCATTAGACAGGCACACAAAGCTCTACGACAGCCGGAGGTCCACTGTAAGGAAATTCATTGTCCCCCTCAAGTTGGGGGCCAGCTGCTCTCCACCCACACCCAAACCACACACAGAAACCAAAAGGGTTCCGATTGCAGTACAAAACAGTAGTAAATCTTGAAAAATTGCCATTCAATGCAAACATTTTGAAAACATTCATCAATAAGTTAGAAATTGCGACTGGGGCACCACCCCAGCAATGAACATTTCTCTAATGTTGCGTTAAGGAAGGATCCAGGCCCGGCCCCCTGCACCGGCAAAAAAGAATGCCCAACATCTCGTAGCAGTAGCCCCAGTCGACGAACGGATTTCTCTCGGTGGATGAAACACTTGGCAAGCTCACATATGCCACATGCCACATGCCGCAGGCCAGCAGCGGAGAGCACGACCTGAACGCCATCCAGCCAACCAGCCAGTCAAATCTGTCCATTTGGCTAATAAATCCTTGAGCAGCTTATTGAGCAACGTCTGCGCATAAATATTATGGCTGCCAACTGGTCGAGGACAAGGACGAGGACGTGGCCAGTGTGGAGCTGCAGGAAGAGGACCTATTCACTTGAACACATCCCTCCGTCTGTGCGCCCCATCCCTATGCCACTAAAGCGGCGCATTCTCTCTCTCTGCTTGCCTCGAACGTGTTAAATAAAACTCCATCCAAGATTTCTGCTAAGTATACCCTTGCGGCAGCGGGAGCATTGCTATTTCTACCCGAGGTTTGTGCACTTTCATTTTTAATATTTCCAACAATAAAACGTATCTAAATTAGTAAAATTTCTGCTCCAACGTATGCACATATGTATATCAATCCTGTCAACACTCGAAATTTGTGAAAGAGTGTTCAAAGATTTGAAATGTTCATCCAAGACTCTCGACTTCTGTCACTTCTACGCCGGAATTCTTGAGCTGACATTGGATTTTGGTTGACTGTCGTGATGGTATGCCTGGGCCCAGGACACTATCTACTCTGTCCTGCTGTTATCCCTCCTACTTTTCTTACGGCTGCTGCTGTTGTTCTTGTTGTTGTTGATGTCTTAAGTCCACTCGCTGCACTAAAAGGATATGCAAATTGTTTGAATAGCAAAGGACATGCTAAACAATTTCAGAGCCTCGAGCTGCTGCTAGTTTGACAAACAAAAAGAAAGAGGAAAACTAAGCTAAACAAAACATATATCTGCCTTTCTCTGCAGTTGGATATTTGATTCTTTTTTTGTTGTCTGGTATTGTTGGTCAGAGGAGTCTTCTTTTGGTCATTGCATGCCGTTCGTTGTTGCGCATTAAGTTGTAGCTACAAGGATACAGGACGTTCAGGACATTCACATATCCCCTCAGCCGCAGAGAAAATGTTTTATTTCGTTGTATTTCACACTCCCTGGGTATAAATCACAGAGCCTCATGTTATTCGGCAGCCCATACGGAATCCCACACCCAGACATGCCTTCTCCATCTCGTTCTCCTTGCTGTCGGTTTATTGAATTAGTTGATTATGGACTAGGGACAGGGACAGAGACAGGGGCAGGGCCAGGAAATTTTACAGCAATAAATCTCCTGTTTTCCAGGCTTACTCAACACGGTTTCAATCTCATTTAAATCTCTAAACAAGGCCAATTCCATGTTGCGGTGGAATGGTACAGCCGAGCACTGCTCCCTCTTAGGCTTCCGCCTTTTCTATGTGCGCTGCTCAGGTATCTGGAACATCGTTTTAAGCCCGGAACAAGTTTCAAAAGTTAACCACACCGATGCTAAGATGTGCCCTAATGTCTGTCTGCTGTTTATTTTCAATTACGGATTAATAACTGTCTCCGCGAGCAGGGACTTCTTTTCATGTTATCCAAGCTATCCAATCTGCAAAGTTGAACAGTATTTACCTGGTTTCCAGAGGGTTTACTTTATCAGTTTAAGGGGCAATCAAGCTGAAAAAGTAGTCAAACTTCAGGAAGTAAGAGGCTGACTGTGAAGAAACTCTAATGTAACTCCTCCTTTCTCCTATTTAGAGACATCATTGATGTCAGACTGCTGGGTTCTGCAGGGAAATATAACAACAATCGAGGATAGACTTTTGGTTCTCGTTCTCCTCTTCTTAGCATTTGGTTGCTTGAGGCGGAATTCTTATCCTTTGATACTCCTCCTCAGTGTGGCTGCCCAGTCGGCGGACAAAGTTTCATGAAATGCGATTTTGTAGCAGGCAAATCCGACCTGAAATCTGTTTCATGGAGCGCCACTTGCGCTCCTCTCTCTGTGTGGCTGTGTAGCTGAGCAATTAACGGACACAAAGCCATCAATTTGCAACAGAATACTGTGATAACTGTGCCTCTGACTGAATCCCTTAACCCTAATCTTGCTTCAATTTGCAATGCCACAAGTTCTCGCTCGCCCCCTCTCCTGCCCGCCGAACCCTGCTCCTACAGCTATTCATATCCATTTTTTCTTCGATTTCTTACACAATGGCGAAATGCGAAATCATTTTCCTTTTTTTATTTTCTCTGTTATTGTAGGATTTCAACAGGCACCAACCGGGGGGAGGACGAGGACAAGCACGAGCTAGATGATGAAGTGCCGTCGCCAAACCGCATCTTTTATACATTTATACACACAAAATTTTTATACGTATCACAGATACTCGCACAAATATCTGCGCTGGAAGGTCTCCCTCTTCCTCTCCCCCACGACAGACAGGAGGCAGCTGCATATTTATGCACAGTTCAAAGATCAAAATGAATATTTTATTTGATTTGATTCCTGACTGCGGCTCACTGGCTCACTGACTCTCTCTTGGCTACAAGGAAAGCATTTTTAAGCGCTCAATCCCAATCCCGGCCATAATAAATTCCTGGGAGAGGGCCAATTGTCTGCCGGCTCAGGATTGACGATTGAGGGCATGGATATGCGCCCTCCCCCATATTTGTGCTCCCGCCTGATTGAATACGAACTATGTAAATGTGTGTGGTGGCACGATGCGATGGAGATGTGTTTAAGCGCTGATAAAGCGCCCCAAAGATCCCTGTTGGTGCGGCTTACAGAATGATGTTGCCCGAAAGAACCCAAGGACCCCAAAGCACAAATCCCTTAAGCGGACAAGGCTTAACGGAAACTATTTTTTAAAGGCATTAACTTTATTTACATATTAACTTCCTCCCCATAGCAGGGCGAGGCCATCTCATATAGTGCTTAGCCGCGGAGCTGGTTGATCAGCCTACGCTGCCTCGCGTCCAGCTGTAGCATTCGGCGCCTCCTGCGCTCCTGGCGCTGCCTCCTTAGCTGACGACGACGACGAATGAAGGCACGTGTGCGACGCCTGGCCGCTGCAGATCCAGAAGAACCCGAGGAAGACGATGACGCCGTGGTCGTGTCCGAGCTCGAAGAGGCCACTGTAGTTGTTGCGGTGGAAGGAGCAACTGTTGTGGTGGCCGTGGACGCGACAGTAGTTGTAGCTGAGACGGTTGTGGTCGTGCCTGTGGCAGCGCCACTCTCCTGGGCCAGCAAGAAGCAGCCGAGGACCGCGAGGAGAAGCACAAATGAGAAGCGCATGCTGACGTGTGTCCAATCTGGCAATCTGTGGTGACTTTTATACCAGATCTTGTAAGTCGATAGAAGTACGTCTCCTATCAGAAAATGCTATGCAATGTAATGAGCAAACATGCTTGACATTCGGAAATGTTTGCTCAGCTTTTCGATTGACATTGGTTTCGGTACATACAATATGTAATTGTTTAAGTGGCTCACCAGTTGCAAGTTAGATTAGTAGTTTTTTTGGGCTCAACCTCAGCGACTCTAAGCGGGATATTACTTCATGCAACAGATTGCAGAAGACCTNGGTATTTTATTCTGCAAATTTTGTATACTTTAAGCTGCTGCTCCAAGAATACAGCATCGCTGGACGACTTCTTTCTTACAAGCCTATCCGCGGAGCTGGTTGATCAGCCTACGCTGCCTCGCGTCCAGCTGTAGCATTCGGCGCCTCCTGCGCTCCTGGCGCTGCCTCCTTAGCTGACGACGACGACGAATGAAGGCACGTGTGCGACGCCTGGCCGCTGCAGATCCAGAAGAACCCGAGGAAGACGATGACGCCGTGGTCATGTCCGAGCTCGAAGAGGCCACTGTAGTTGTTGCGGTGGAAGGAGCAACTGTTGTGGTGGCCGTGGACGCGACAGTAGTTGTAGCTGAGACGGTTGTGGTCGTGCCTGTGGCAGCGCCACTCTCCTGGGCCAGCAAGAAGCAGCCGAGGACCGCGAGGAGAAGCACAAATGAGAAGCGCATGCTGACGTGTGTCCAATCTGGCAATCTGTGGTGACTTTTATACCAGATCTTGTAAGTCGATAGAAGTACGTCTCCTATCAGAAAATGCTATGCAATGTAATGAGCAAACATGCTTGACATTCGGAAATGTTTGCTCAGCTTTTCGATTGACATTGGTTTCGGTACATACAATATGTAATTGTTTAAGTGGCTCACCAGTTGCAAGTTAGATTAGTAGTTTTTTTGGGCTCAACCTCAGCGACTCTAAGCGGGATATTACTTCATGCAACAGATTGCAGAAGACCTCAAGCTCACTCATTTCGATGGGATTTACATTGCATATGTATGTGTGTATTTATCTTCAATTACAGATCTTTCTGGATCGTGTTATCTATATGGTAACAGACAGAAAATACACTTTATGGGAAAATAGGAAAATACTTTCTAATAAAAATGTACTAAAATTATTTACCTTATCCATTACGGAGGATATCTTTTATTCTCCCATGTAACTTTTGATTATGCATCTCTATCCTACTCCTATAGGAACCTCAATGGGAACCATCGATACAATATGGTTGAGATAACCGGTAGCTCCCGCAGACTACAAGATATGAATCTGGTTAAGTGAATAATTGTCTGATCCCATAGCCAGAACAGTGAGTCCCAGTGTTGGATATAAAGAACTTTACATCAGAATTCATTTTCAAAATACTCGTATATTCAATTTTTCATATTTCATGGGTGCTTAAAGATAAGGATTTCATCAGGGAATGATTTATCGGGAGTTTTGGATATGTCTCCTTTCTTCCCGCTTAACCTCGGAGCTCGTTGATCACACGGCGCTGGTTCTGAATCCTGTTGCGGAGCCTCTGGGTCTGGCGCTGCCTCTGGCGCTCACGGCGCTGTCGCTGACGAGCCAAACGACGGCGACGTCGGCGACGCCTGGCCGCTGCGGAGTTGGAGCCTGAAGATGATGAGGACGCTGTGGTCGTGTCGGAGGTCGAAGAGGCAACGGTGGTGGTTGCGGTGGAAGGAGCGACTGTTGTGGTGGCCGTGGACGCGACAGTAGTTGTAGCTGCGACTGTTGTGGTCGTGCCTGTGGCAGCGCCACTCTCCTGGGCCAGCAGGAAGCAGCCGAGGACCGCGAGGAGAAGCACAAATGAGAAGCGCATGGTGAGGTGTGTCCAATCTGGCAATCTGTGGTGACTTTTATAGCAGAAAACCCTCTGAAGTAGTTTTTGTAATTGTTGTAATTAACAGATAGTTCCACTGTTTTTCTATTGGAATTTGGCAATGTTTGCACAGCTTGTCGATCGACTAAATTCACCAGGTACATAGCGGAGCAAACAAAAATATTTACACAATGTCGAGAAACCAAATAGTTACACGGCTTTCTGAAGCCCAAGATCTGTATAAAAGACCTGCTCTGACGCAGATTCAAGCACAGCACGTTACCATGCGCTTCTCATTCGTTCTCCTTCTCGCGGTCCTCGGCTGCTTCCTGCTGGCCCAGGAGAGTGGCGCTGCCACAGGCACGACCACAACAGTCGCAGCTACAACTACTGTCGCGTCCACGGCCACCACAACAGTCGCTCCTTCCACCGCAACCACCACCGTTGCCTCTTCGACCTCCGACACGACCACAGCGTCCTCATCATCTTCAGGCTCCAACTCCGCAGCGGCCAGGCGTCGCCGACGTCGCCGTCGTTTGGCTCGTCAGCGACAGCGCCGTGAGCGCCAGAGGCAGCGCCAGACCCAGAGGCTCCGCAACAGGATTCAGAACCAGCGCCGTGTGATCAACGAGCTCCGAGGTTAAGCGGGAAGAAAGGAGACATATCCAAAACTCCCGATAAATCATTCCCTGATGAAATCCTTATCTTTAAGCACCCATGAAATATGAAAAATTGAATATACGAGTATTTTGAAAATGAATTCTGATGTAAAGTTCTTTATATCCAACACTGGGACTCACTGTTCTGGCTATGGGATCAGACAATTATTCACTTAACCAGATTCATATCTTGTAGTCTGCGGGAGCTACCGGTTATCTCAACCATATTGTATCGATGGTTCCCATTGAGGTTCCTATAGGAGTAGGATAGAGATGCATAATCAAAAGTTACATGGGAGAATAAAAGATATCCTCCGTAATGGATAAGGTAAATAATTTTAGTACATTTTTATTAGAAAGTATTTTCCTATTTTCCCATAAAGTGTATTTTCTGTCTGTTACCATATAGATAACACGATCCAGAAAGATCTGTAATTGAAGATAAATACACACATACATATGCAATGTAAATCCCATCGAAATGAGTGAGCTTGAGGTCTTCTGCAATCTGTTGCATGAAGTAATATCCCGCTTAGAGTCGCTGAGGTTGAGCCCAAAAAAACTACTAATCTAACTTGCAACTGGTGAGCCACTTAAACAATTACATATTGTATGTACCGAAACCAATGTCAATCGAAAAGCTGAGCAAACATTTCCGAATGTCAAGCATGTTTGCTCATTACATTGCATAGCATTTTCTGATAGGAGACGTACTTCTATCGACTTACAAGATCTGGTATAAAAGTCACCACAGATTGCCAGATTGGACACACGTCAGCATGCGCTTCTCATTTGTGCTTCTCCTCGCGGTCCTCGGCTGCTTCTTGCTGGCCCAGGAGAGTGGCGCTGCCACAGGCACGACCACAACCGTCTCAGCTACAACTACTGTCGCGTCCACGGCCACCACAACAGTTGCTCCTTCCACCGCAACAACTACAGTGGCCTCTTCGAGCTCGGACACGACCACGGCGTCATCGTCTTCCTCGGGTTCTTCTGGATCTGCAGCGGCCAGGCGTCGCACACGTGCCTTCATTCGTCGTCGTCGTCAGCTAAGGAGGCAGCGCCAGGAGCGCAGGAGGCGCCGAATGCTACAGCTGGACGCGAGGCAGCGTAGGCTGATCAACCAGCTCCGCGGCTAAGCACTATATGAGATGGCCTCGCCCTGCTATGGGGAGGAAGTTAATATGTAAATAAAGTTAATGCCTTTAAAAAATAGTTTCCGTTAAGCCTTGTCCGCTTAAGGGATTTGTGCTTTGGGGTCCTTGGGTTCTTTCGGGCAACATCATNAGATAAATACACACATACATATGCAATGTAAATCCCATCGAAATGAGTGAGCTTGAGGTCTTCTGCAATCTGTTGCATGAAGTAATATCCCGCTTAGAGTCGCTGAGGTTGAGCCCAAAAAAACTACTAATCTAACTTGCAACTGGTGAGCCACTTAAACAATTACATATTGTATGTACCGAAACCAATGTCAATCGAAAAGCTGAGCAAACATTTCCGAATGTCAAGCATGTTTGCTCATTACATTGCATAGCATTTTCTGATAGGAGACGTACTTCTATCGACTTACAAGATCTGGTATAAAAGTCACCACAGATTGCCAGATTGGACACACGTCAGCATGCGCTTCTCATTTGTGCTTCTCCTCGCGGTCCTCGGCTGCTTCTTGCTGGCCCAGGAGAGTGGCGCTGCCACAGGCACGACCACAACCGTCTCAGCTACAACTACTGTCGCGTCCACGGCCACCACAACAGTTGCTCCTTCCACCGCAACAACTACAGTGGCCTCTTCGAGCTCGGACATGACCACGGCGTCATCGTCTTCCTCGGGTTCTTCTGGATCTGCAGCGGCCAGGCGTCGCACACGTGCCTTCATTCGTCGTCGTCGTCAGCTAAGGAGGCAGCGCCAGGAGCGCAGGAGGCGCCGAATGCTACAGCTGGACGCGAGGCAGCGTAGGCTGATCAACCAGCTCCGCGGATAGGCTTGTAAGAAAGAAGTCGTCCAGCGATGCTGTATTCTTGGAGCAGCAGCTTAAAGTATACAAAATTTGCAGAATAAAATACCGAAACAAATCAACAGCCATTTGTTGTGAAGAGCTTGGATAAAGAGGAAAAACAAAAAGGGTTTGCCTAGCTGCGGTTCTACTGGCATCCTTGGGGTCTGGCCCCGTTTTGAGTTGCAAATCCATCAAAGCGGAGGCTGTGGCGTATTTCTCACGCTTCGGTGGATCTCTGCAACTCTGAAATTGGCACAAAGGCGTATAGACGGCGGGACGGCGGGACGGCGGGGACACACTGGATGTCCGGATGCCTACACCGTCTACTCTTTCCCCGAGACTGAGGCGAAAGTTTTCGCCTGCAGCGTTGGCAAAAAAAGTTTTCCCGCCGCCGACGCCGTCGACGCCGCCGCTGAGGCTGCATAAAATTTGTGTCCAAATATGATTTCTATGCTCTCGTACTGGCTTTAAGAATTTCTATCTGGGCGGGAGTCCCCCGATCTCTTCCTTTCACCTTCCAACTGTAGCTGACGCCTAAATGCGCCTAAATGAAATTTTTGCTAGTTGGCTCGAAACTTTTGCCGCTGCACCTTTTTTGAGCCAAAAGTTTGTTTCAAGTTCTGTTTCTGTGAGCCCTATGGCAAAGGCTGTGGGCGGACTGTGGGCGTGGCGGGGGCAGAACTTTTATAATTATTTGATTTGGCAAATAGCAAAGGGCACAGGGCACAGGGCACAGGGCTAGCAAAAGGGAGGATGCTGCTCCCTTCGATATGTACTGAGAGTTTGAAAAGATTTTTTAGCACAAGGAATTCTTACAATTTCCAGTTCAAATGTGAACCGATAGCCGCATCCCCAGAACACACGATATTTTGATGCAGAAACGTAAAAGCTTCCACAGTTGAAGAGACAAGCACTCCCCCTCCGACTGGGGTCCGAGAAACATCTGAGAAGAGAGCAAATAGAAAACTGTTTTCAGGCAACCAACAATAAAGAGAGTTCTCTGGTAGATCTTTACCCAGCAATGGGTTCCAAACTCCTCAGAAGTTGCTCGGCATCGAAGTGGCATTTTCTGAATATCGTAGACTTGCAGCTTTTTGTACTTAAAAGAGAAATAAAACTGAACAAGCATGCTGTGTAAATACTATATGGGTGTGCTTACCTGTTCATTCAATTCGAACGAGTCTGGTGATAGTGTAACAGTAGAACTCAGACATTTGGCAAAATAAAATGTCGTATATTAAGCTGTTCTTACTACTCTCCGCTCTGGTCTTTCTCTTGTGCACCACCAGGCTGGAGGTTCTCGCGGCTGGCGCTAAATCGACTAGTGGCTCGGCGTTCAGTCATCGATTTGCAAGTGATTCTGCGGGGATGAGCGGGGAATCAACACTTCCAATGCCACCATGGGAGATTAGATTGATTAACGAAAGTTTGATGAATACAACGAACCGGAAACAAATTGGGCCACAAGCACTGAAACAGCAACAGATACCATGGTTGAAGGTGAAGGCAGATGATATCTGGAAATTTCTCTTTGGACTCTACCTAATATATCTGTCTGTGTTTCTATTCTAAGAACTATTTAGTTGCATTTGTATACTTAAATTTGAGTAAAATGCATTATTCTTTGGTTAATGGTTTCACCTGTTTAACATATTTAAAGCACTTGGTACCCCTTTCTGCTGCGCTGCTGCAACTCCAAAAGCCAAACATACAAACGTAGGAGGTGTGTATGTTCAGGCCATATGCTAAGTAACCCCCGCTCTGTAACCTCTGACTCTGGACGGAGACGATAGCTTCGCTGTTGCTTTCGTCAACTGCAACATAATTTATGACGCTTTCATTAAAAGCGACAACCGAAACACACGCCCACACACAATCACGGGGCTTGGTAACAAATGTCCAAAGGAGTTGTGGCTCAGTCCATGGAGTGGCGTTTGTGTGTGTGTTCGGGCCAGGCCGAAAAGACAAGTCTCGTGGGGGAACTACCGAGTCCCGTGTGCCAGACAGTTGTCAGAGAGAAGCAAAAACACATCGGCCGAGAGTGTGCAGAGTGCCCACCCCAGAACCAGAACGTCGCCAACATTTCACCCCGAACGGTGTCAATTTTTTAATGTCAAGCGTTTAACTGGCATACCGTTGCACAGGAACACACACACGTAGCCCAGTCAGAGCCAGAGTCCTTCCGTCGCGCTTTGACATAATTAAAGGCCATTAATCACGTGTGCTGATTCAACAACGCCCACTCTCTCTCTCTCTCTCTCTCTTCCTTTCCCTCTCTCTTTTGCCCGGTTAGGAAAGGGCAGTGGAGTGTAGACCAGTGATGTAACGTCCAGGGGATTGTAGACCTAGGAGACCCGTGTGACCTCTCATAGGGTTAATAAAGCCACTTGAGTCTGGAGTCGGGTCGGGTCGGATCAGGTCGGGACGGAGATCAGGTCGCAGGCGCATTTAAATTTACCCAAAACCCAACGAAGACACGACACTGATGCTGCTCCTGCTCCTGCCGCAAAATGTGTCCGACTGGAAAAATTGTTTTTTTCACATTTCCTCCCCACTTTGCTGGTTATTCTCTTGCCTTTTTTCAGAGTTTTGTTCCATCCGGAGATTCCCTCTCTTTTTTGTGCTTTTTATGCTGCAGCATTTTGGCGTCAATTAACGTTCTTTGTTGTGGCGTTACATTGGACACATTTTGGTGGAGGTGTCCAGCGTCGGAGTCAGAGCCATGGTCATAGCCTCGTACACGATGCAGAGATACACCGCGTAGATTGCAAATGTCGCGTGGATGTGTTGCGCTTCATTGCGCCTCAGTTTGTAGTGATGCCCCCCATTCAGAATTATCAACAATTTTGGGCCAGTGCGGCAACGAAATACTCTACACCTGAGATCCACACATATCGGCGCATTGATGGTTGACTCGAATTACAATGAATGTACGAATGTACAAGAATTTAATAATTGAAGGGGCGTTTTTCTTGTTTTTTATTGCTGGACTGATCCTCCGAATATGTCTAACCTAATAGCAGTGAATTCGAAGAGCAGCTCCTGCCAGACGACACAAGCATGTATGTAGATACTCCCGAAAATATATTCCCCTACATACCGATGCTGTCGGCGATGGCTCTTATATAGACTTATAGTCTCGCATATTGACCACGAGACCAGAGGCGGGGGCTCAGTGAAACACCTTTGCCCCGCCCATTGGGGGATTGATTTTTAACGAGCATGGACGCTCGATGCGCCATCAATTCTTTTCGTATTTTTTATCCTCTCTCTTTGTCGACCCGCTTTAATGCTGGTTGTAAAAAATTATGGAAAAACAATTTTTAATGGACTAAATTGCTGCAAAAATGGATGCCATGCGTCCGGCATTAAAGGGGTTAAGAGTGCATAAAAACAGAGAATTATTTCCGTTAAATGCATTGCATAGTGCGGTTCGTTAAGGTCCTACTATGGATATGTCCATTGAGGGGATTTGCAGTCGAACAAATTGTACATACATAAGCGTATGGAAAAAGAGGTTTTACTAAGCTATGATTAAAGTATTCTCCTGCATGGCTGACTCTTGATCTCCCACACTGGCATTATACTCCCAGAAGTCCATTCGCAGTCGCAACAGAAGCGAGCCCTGCCAAGAATCAACATGACACCGAGCCCACCCTAATCCCTGGGCAAAGCCAATCAAATCTTAAAATAACACACTAAACACTCAAAAATTCCGCACAGAGAAGAGGAGCAGCAGCAGTCGCCCCCAAGAACTTTGTGTGGCCTAAGCCACTGGCTAACATTTAAATTCCCGGCTGGAGCGGCACTTTGTTGCTTTAAGCTGCAACAAGAACATCCATAGCTCTAAGTGGCAAAGTAAACATGGCATAGATGTCGCAGTCGGTGCGGTATCCCGGACACATGAACGGAAAGTCCGCCCCATGGAAAACTTTCTGGCGAATGCCTCGCGGCCAATATGCATAGACACACACACACACACGAGGAACTCCTGCTCCTGGTCCCCTGCTTGCCGGGTGTCCTGTTGTCCTGGTCTACGTGTTAATTTGGTTCAGCGTAATTGTAACTTGACATGCATGCACCGGAGGGTGGTGCCTTGTGGAGAACCCAAAACTGGAAAGTGTTTTAATTGAATTATTTTCATTGTCGCCCCAGCTCGAGCTGTTGCCTGCTGGCATTATTAACTTTTCTTGTTGCTACAATTTATGCAAACTTTCTAAAAATAAAAAAAGAGCACCCGCTCACACAGAGAGATACAACCAAACACACACATACAGATACAACTTGAACCCCAAGCAACAAAAAGTTAAATGAGTTAAACGAGCAATTTTATGAGCATGTCGAAAGTTTTGCGAATGCCCCGAAATACCAAGAAGAAAAAAAGCGACAACTGAAGCATTCGATTTGTGTCCGTGGAATGAAATGGAAGTTTAGCACGCGGTTTAGGCCGCGGGCTTTGCACAACAAAATGGGGATGGGGATTGGTCATCCTGCTCCTCCTTCTCAATCTGGAGTTTAGTCGAGGTGTTGCTGTGGAGCATCGATTGATTGCAGGCATTTGCAGGAGAGGTTGTTGCTGTTAGAAATCCAATTATCCGACAGCCAACACTTGACCCACAACTTTCCCCTCAAATTCTGCTGCTGGCCAATACCACAGTTATGCCCAAAACTATAATCTCTCAACCCAGTTCTACTCCACCTCCACTCCACTTGCTCATTCTTATCGCATCAGTCGGCAAACATTTTCAATTTCAATAGCCTAACGAGTTGTTGTTCGGGCTGTTCTACTCTTTTCTCTACACTCCGAAGAAAACAACAGTTACTTCGTGTGGATATCAAAGGGACAAACGTCAAATCACTAATGTTTCCCTTGTTTTTTCTCAGTGTACATGCCTTTGTGGCCCTGAGCAAAAGCGCATAAAAATGCTCGCCCCCAAAAAGGCCAAATGCAAATTCCGAAATGCGGCCAAAAAGGCAACAAGGAAATAAGCCATTCACACTCTGGCTGATACGGAAGCTGATACGAGAGAAAGAGAGAGTGCATGGAATGGGGAATCGTGTGAGGGATATACATACATGTACAAATGTACACATGTATGTGTATGTGTGGATTCTAATTCAAAGGCCAAACAGCAGCCACAATGCCAACATCCACATCCACATGCGGAGCAGAGCAGAAGAGTAGAGAAGAGAATAAGAGCTGGTGGGAAAAAGAGAAGAAGAGAGCGGGTAAGGGAGAGGTTGCACGATGTGCAAAATGTTCTTAATTCTCAATTCATATGCAAATTTATTTTATCGCCCGCTCTGGCTGCCGGCTGGCTGGATAACCGTCCGCCCGACAGCCTCGAATGGGTGCTGCTGCTGCTGCCTGCAACAACAATGAAGGATTGTGGCCAGAATCCGAAGCGGAACACCCCAACTCACACAACCCATTTCAATCATCCATGTCAGTGTACAGGCTACATTTAGGAGTCCAGGCCAGTCTCGTTCCGCTCCCGTTCGTACCGGCTCGTTATTGCTTGTAACTGTGTATTTGATGGCCTGCTCCTGACTGCACCGCTTGATAATTGATCGCCGGCATTAAAAATGTTCAGGAAAACAATAATAAAAGCAAGTAGGAAGATTGGAAAGGAGTTCTTACAAATGTCTATGCTAATTATAAATATGCATCATATACCTACAGATGTTCATAATTACACATGAATGTATGTTATGTGTATGTGGAAGGTGGAAGGTGGGCCAGGGATCCGCTCGTAACGAGCTTCAGATTGCTGTTGCTATTTGCTATTTGGAGATCGGCGTTTAGGTATCTACCTCATGGTTTCTATTATATTGAAGCAATGTAGTGTTTTGTTTTATTAGTTCTTATTATGGGAATTTGTCTTATAAGGCCTAACATATTTTCTGTTCCGACTAGTGTATAAGGGATATGATTCGATGACATTTTGAAGAAACATCCACTAAGAAGAATATAATCGGGCTCATTTCGCACATGATGAGAATGGGCAACGGAATGAGAATTGGTATGAGAATTGTGCCTGACGATGAGGGCCATGTGGAAGCGTTGATGATGGCCGAAAAGGCAATTGAGAAGCAGCTGGAGCCCGGACAAGGCTTTGAATTGATTTCACTTTGGGGCAATCGTCCCACAGAGACACAGCGGAAGTCATGTCGTGCTGCAATACCCGGCCCTGCTGCTGCCGTTGCCACTAGGCAGACAGTTTTTTTTCCCAGCCACCCTGACTCTGTATGGGGGACACTGCACGTCTGCGCAATTTCAAAGCAATTGCAAACGTTTACCAAGGCGCACACAAAAGTAAAGTAAAGTAAGGCGGAAGTGTTTTCCTGCTTTCTTTCCTTCATTTTCCTCGTTTTTGTAGTGGGTGAAAGTCTTTTTAATTGAAGTGGACTTGGGGACACATACACACTCACACACTGCATAGGGTACACCACTCTACTGGGGTATTTTGAATTCAATGATGCAGCAAGCGGTCAACGCCTTTGACTGCTTGCAAGCAACCGGCTCCTTCAAAAGGGCCACCATCGGGCACAAAAAACCGGGCCGAGACTGAGGAAAAGGAGGCAGGAACTAAGTCCATGTCCATGCGGCTGCCGTATATGTCATTAAAATTTACTACAATCTATTTTGCTTGCTAATTGGCACTTGGCCATGTCCTGTGCTCCTGGGCCATGGCTCCAACTCTGTCTTTGGCGCTGGCTCTTTGTGCTTGCCCGAAGATCTTCCGCTTTTTCCTGGCCATAATCATTACTTGCACTGACGACAACTCCGGCCTAATTGCTGGGAACGAGAGAGCTGCAACTCTATCCTAGAAAATGCTCTGCGAGCGTTTAATTACGGCCCTGGTGTTGATGGCACTTAGTACTTGCTAAGCCATACACACACATAAAAAAACATTCAAAAGTTAAATTTACCGTACGCTTAATGCAGCCTCGCTTCCATTTTTGCATTTCTTCAAGGTGACCCGAAGCGCAGACCCGAAAGTGAGGTTAGGGCCGCCATTTACCGCACGCATTAGCATGTGTCAAGTGCGGATGAACTTAGCTCTTCTGCCATCCACGCCTTGGCCACTTTCCGTTGATGCGTGGCAAAAACACACTCAAATACTTGAAGCCGCATCGCCACTACGAAATCAGCCAGCCCCGCCCCACGACTCGCTGCGTGGCTCCTCCTGCAGACGCCTGCATTTCATTTCTAATTACGTTCCGCAAACTTCCCCTCGAGAGCCGAGCTAATGAAATCTTACGAACGGACCGTAATGCGAGCACAAAATGTATTAGGGAATATTTACAGAGCACTTGAAAAACGCTGACTGTGTATTAGGGATACAGCAAATGAAATTCGAATAAATTGCGTTGCAAAAATCAACGATCAACGTGTTGTTAGAGAGAGAAAGCAAGAGGTAAAACGCTAAATTAGTGTTGATAGCCGTAAAATAACCAACATACATACAATCTACTTCTTTCGTTATCAGACCCCAATCTATGTTTGTGGATGAGTTGGAAAACCAGAAAACCAATTATTTATATTAACAAATTTATTTTAAATTACATACACACATTTTAGCATTTACATAACATATATACATTTTTCACCAAGTTGGCAGTCCTCAAATCGAATGGAACTCATTTGTTTTGCCACACTACATCGCATATAAACACACACACATATGCACATTCCCACAGCCGCTTTTTTTTGTGTTTGCCCGTTTTCTTTATTTTAGTGAAATTTGCATACCACCGACCAGACCAGACCAGACCAGACCACCAACAACCGAACTTTGACAATGCAATTTGAAAAGCCTGACGTTCGCCCGATCCCTGCCTGCCCTGCCACATGTGGCTAAACATTAGCGGTCACTTGTGGGAGCCTGCCCCTTGGACTGCTGCTGGCTTTGCGGCTTTTTTCGGTAAGTTATTTGTTTTGTGACACTATCGCCGCTCGTCCGTCCATCCGTACTTGGTTCTTATCGGGCACCCGCTCCGGCTTCGGCTCCGTTTGTCTGCGGCTGCTCTGGCTCGAGCTCCCAAGGGGGGGTCAGAGCTTGACACGAGCCAGCAACCATTGGACAGGACTGGCCACAAAACCGATTGCGACTGTCCTTCCCCATTGTTTGTCACGCTGCAGTTGTTCTGTTTTTCTGTCCTCCACCTGGATACGATACGTTTTCCGTGCTCACCTCGATTTATTATATGCTGTTTTTCTAGGGCTATATGCTCCGGAAAAACGTTCTTAATGAGCCTCATACGGATTTTGTGGCTTCTCTGGCTTGAATCGATGCAAAGTTGGGCCCCGAACAATAGACTGAGGACTGTCCTGGGATTGGCTTGGAAGAGGAGTACCAGCAAGATGTAGATGCAAATCAAGTCGTGTCCTGGTCCTGGTCCTGGTCCCTGTCCACACCCGGCGCAATTCTAGAACTCGGAGCCCATTGTTTGCACTCAAATTATTTACACATTATCTGCGGGCACAGGAGCCAGCCGGAGGACGAGCCCCAAGTCCCCAAGGAGAACACACACACATTGAGAGAGTCAGTTGTTATTTTAATAGTTTAAGTAACCATAATATGTTGAGGACTTTTTAATAAACTTGAAACACGAGCAAGCGTGAGCCACAAGGACACCAGAGACCGGTCCCCAGAGAGGGCAAGGATGTGGATGTAGACGTGGAACAACTGCAGTCGGGGCCAAGATTTATGCAAACCAAAATGTTGCCAAAAATTACAATTTAATGGACTCGACACTGTGAGGAGAATGTGCGTGCTCGTGTGCGTGGCTTGGTGTGGCGCGGCGCGGCGCGGCGTGGCCCATAATGAGCAGCGAGAAACTTGCAACAAAAGCCAAAGTCGACAAGACAAAGGCCACAACAACAACGGAAAGAAGGAGTCGTCGTAGGACCAAGAGAAACTAGAAATGTAAGCAAAAGTAACTTCTCTAATTTTGCAGGAAATATGAAGCCATTAAAGTGCAGCAGACAAGGCGAAACATGGCAACATCTTGACTACTGCGGCACACACATACCCAGACAGAGGAGAGGCTGAGTCTCCGGCTGAGGAGGCTCCAGCCGCCCCGGCCATGTGGCGACTGTGTCCTGTAAAAGTTGTCCTCGAGAGTGTGAAAATAAATTGTAAAAAGTCGCAGAAGTGAAAATGGCAACTGGTTTGCATGTGGCCCCACAACAGTGGAACTCCTCTCCACGGGTCAGGTCAGGCCAGCGGTAAGCAGTAAACAGCTGTTGCACTGTTTTTTTTTCCTATTTCTACAATTTATTTCCACACAAAAAAACAGAAAATAGGAGGAAGGAAAAATCCGTTTATACATATCTTTAATTGCCAACTTGTCCAGTGACAGGCGGCGAGAAAAATGATCACCGTTGAGGTCCAGCGAGGGATTCTGGGCGACCAGCTGGTGTCACATGTCCGGCGCTAGCTGCACTTAATCACTGCCCCGGCCAGCTGGCAGTCGTGGCGACCCGGAACAGCCGGACGGGCCTTTGCCCTTTGGGAGTCACCTGAGTGGAGTCCGGGCACTAAGCCATCCAGGAGAGCACTTTTATTGGACCGATTGAGAGCGATAACGGGAGCTCCGAGCAATTCGCGATGCTCCCCATGCCGCAGAGATATAAATATGCACCGAGTTTACACTCGGCAGTCGGACTGCCCGATGGATCGACCGCAATGTCGAGCTGCACCCGGAATTAAGTTAATTTTAATCTACGCTGATTAATTGCATTGTCAGGCCAGATGAAATGTCCTGCGCTGGTGCTGGTGAGAGTGCTCCACTGGAGGGCCCAGTGGCAACCGCATGCCAAGTGTTAAATGTCAGAGTAACGCTTTTAATACAATTTTGTGGCAGATGCGAGGCAGGGCCTCAATTGAAACAAGTCAAAAGTATTACGTTAATTGCACGAAACTCTCGCGCCAGTACAGTGCGTTTCGGGATAATAATTAAGGGGGAGAGGGTTTTCGAATAATATCCAAAAGTGTTTTGTTTCTGCCACGGGTGCTCCATGCTCGAGTTTCGGCATCATCTAATCGACAATCGTCCACAAATTGCTGTTTAAGCAGCGCACATTGAAATTCCGTTTGCATATCGGCAATAATGTCGTACATTTGGTTGGTTTTTTCCTCTCCCCTCCTCTCATCCGGCTCTCTCCGGGATAGGGGAGCGGGCCACTATCTAGCGCGGAGGGACACACTCAATTTAATGGTCTTGGGTGTTCCAAATTCGGAAATTAAATAGAACATTAAGAGGTAAAACGCTCCACAGAGATCCCTCTATTTGCATAAACGGCCAGAGGCGGCACCTGATAAACAGGTGTCGAACAGGATATAAAATTCTATTCGCTCTTCCCTTTTTAAACGTTTTTCCTTACCAATGGTACCTTATTAAATTGACCATATAATACGTTCTTTGAATGACCATAACTCTTCCAGCTTAAGTTCTGGCAAATATCTATTTTTCTATAAGAAGTGCTAGAAATTAACTCAATTTCTATGGGGATTTCTTTCGGGCTTTATATGAACAATTATATATTATTTTTTGCGTGAACAAAATCGTAATTTGAATGTTCTATTACTTACAGATGTCTCTTAAAATGATATATGTGCCACTAAAACTACTGGCTACCATAACTTGGGGAAAAATCAACTGCTTTTTAATCAGTTGAGTAGGTTCAAGTACAATTATATTCTTCATGTAAGACTATTTTTCTTTTCCAGTTAACTCAAGTCCAATGCAGAGCAACCAAGATCCGGCTTACAGTCAGCAACGCCTCCTTGCCTTGTTTATGTTTTGCTCTGAAGCAATTCAACTATTGCGTAGAACTAACCCAGAACAGGGCCATTGTCATGCGGAGGAGCACACTTCGTTGGGTTTTTTTTTTTTTTTTTTGAAAACATTGCGAGGCGTTTGCATAAAAATTTGATAATTTGGAATGTGTTTTGGATAAATCATACAGGAATGGGATAAATACAAAATGTGCAATTAAGTCGCTGGGTGGCCCCCAATGGAACCTAATGGAGCAAATGGTCATTAAGCCAATCGCCATGAACGCCATGCACCATTCCCCCATTCTTCCACACACAAAGGCAAGTGCGCAGCTTAATATGCAAAAAATCAATTCAATTTTCGATTTTGCGGCCAGATGTCGCCACGTTTGATGTGAAGTGCACATCAGAAGTCGCTCGCCGTAATTCAAAAAAATTAATCAAAAATCCATTTTGACAGCCTGCAGTGGGTCCGCAACGAAACGATACGACTTGGCCATGCCCTTCCCTGCATGCCACGCTATCAGGTGAGCCAGCAGCAGTAGCAGCACCAACTATGATTGATGCGAATGACTCAGCCTGAGGCGGAGGAAACTCACTTAACGATGAGGTGCACGTCGTGGGGAACGTGGAAGAAACTGCAGTAATTGACATTTAGGAGGCAACAGCTGGCGCCCACCGGCAGTCTAGAGAAGAACTCTCCAACTGACGTCAATGGGCTGAATGAATCACGCTCCACGACAGCCTGGATCCAAGCTGATCTCCTGGCCGAGATATCTTATGCACTGCATGTCCCCGGCTGGCTATTTTTATTCTCAGGGCGGCTCACTTCTATCGACGAAAAGGCGATAAGGCGCACACGCACCCATAAACCTCGAATAATTTGGCTTTTCCTATCCAGTGACTGCGAAATGACCTTAAAATTAAATTGCCAATTTTGTTTTTTATAGCCAACATGTGTCCCTCCCCCTACTCGTGGCGGGGATTGCGATGGGTTGAATTGGATCGAGACTAACCATCACCTCCTGTGCCCAGCCCGCCTGCAAATATCTCTCAATAACCAACACCCATCGCTGATTAGGTCCCCGAATTGACAGCTTTAACCGATCTCGGTCGATCCACCATAAAGGCGCAATACGATGATACGAATACGACTACAATATGAGTACCATCGAGATACCAGCGATCGGAGTTGTCAGGCGGATGGTTCGCACGTTCGACAGACCCGCGACGATCCCCTACTGCATACAAAGCAGGGCTTCGGCTTCGGCTTCAGCTTCAGCTTCTGCCTCGGTGTACATATGTACATATGCCTGCCTATGGGTATATCCGATTTTTTTGTCGCTGCCTCTCATTATGCTCGTCTTGTTGGCCTTTTTGCCACTTTGGTTTCGTATATAAATCTAACGCGCTGCGTTGCCCAGACATCACTTCTTTGGTGGAAACTTCAGTGACAAGTTTAGCTCCTGCTGTGATCAGTGCGCGTTTCCCTCAAGTAACCAAGGACTTATATATATATTCCCCTACCAACCGCCAATCGCAAGTCAAATTAAATCCAACATGAAGTTCAGTGCTGCTTTGGCTCTGCTGGTGATCGCTGGGTTCGTGGCCAGCGGCGATGCCCTGCCCGCCAGGAAAAGTGAGTTGAGCGAGAGAATACAGGAGCTGAGAGGCCTCGTCCACAAATCTCACAAAGGATTAAATGAGTCGGAGATCACGCTATTCATTCGATCATTAATCATCTCTCATTCCATTGGTCAACATTTACTGAAGATCGGCAATACCTCGTTCCAGGAATGGTCTACTACCAGCAGCCCGCCGCCGCCGAGTGGTACGGTTCCGCGCCCCAGCAGCGCATCATGTACATGCAGTACGTACAGCCAGGACGCACCCACGCCCGCTCCACCCAGGCAGCCAGCGCCCTTGTGGCCGGAGAGACCGTTGCCACCGGCACCTACCTGAAGGGTAAGCACTCGCCCACTAACTAATCCCAGCCAGAACTAACAGTGCGGTTCCTAACCAAAGATTGCAATCATGCAGAGTCTGTGGATGAGCTCAGCGCCGAGGCCCAGGCCGAGGATGTCCTGGCCGCTGCCGGTGCCCATGGAGCTACCTCCGTGGCCGAGGCCTATCCCGAGGAGACTCCTGTTGTCCAGGTGGCCATCGATGCTGATGTCGTGCCTGAGGCTAAGCCCGAGGCTGAGCCAGAGGCTGGCGCTGCCGTCGTGGAGACAGACGAATCCGCCAAGGTGCCACGTGAATTCAACTTTGTGTCCGAGGAGGCTGCCGCCGCCGCAGTCGCCGCTGAGGAGGAGGCCATCGCTGAGCCCCTCGTGCCTGCCAACCGTTATCTGCCCGCCAAGAAGAAGGTCATTGTCGAGCTCGAGCAGTCCGAGGAGGATGAACCCGAGGTCGCTGCCATTGAGGATGAGGAAGCCGAGAACACCGTGTCCGACGATGTTGACGAGGATGAGGAGGAGCTGCTGGTGGTGCCGGTCAAGCCAGTGATCAAGAACCCAGCCCGCGTGCCCAATGCCCGTCGTCCAGCAGCTAAGAAGCCAGTCAAGGCTGCCACTCCAGCTGCCAAGCCCTCGAAGAAGCCTGCCGCTCCCTTGCCCGCCGGCACCTTCTTCCCCATCGACTTCGGAGGTACCAGCGGCGGCGCCATCGCCATTGCCAACTCCTTCAGTACCGGCGAAGGAGGCGCTGCCACCAGCCATGCCATCGCCTACGGCTCCCCCGACTCTGTGCGGGCCCGCGTCCGTCCCAATCCCAGCAAGTTCCGCCACTAAGCCACCGACTGATGACCATCCTCCACATCTTGCTAGATCCAGTCTGTAAATTAAAGCTTCTCCTGTAATTATTAGCGAAATTGTCAACCTTTGAGCGCATTTAAATAAAGTTCTTTCTGTTTTTAAACGCCATTGAAGAGATTATTCGGTTGGGGAAACGATCCTCCGCTATGCATTTCTAATATATTTATGTGTTCTATTTCATTTGATGATCTGGTCTTGCGACACGATCTAAACCTACCCGAGATACAATCAAAGTGGAAATGGGCAAAGTAAATTCTCTTAAATGAAGAAAACAAATCAACGATCATTAGGGCTAAGGGGGATGCATCGATCCTTCTCATTCGTATAGCATAATATGTGGATGTATATTTTAAAAGACACTACGCGTATTGTACAGCTCGCTAGACTGCTTGGATTTCGTTACTCTTATTTTTGTTTATACAAGAACTGTAGAGGTATCCAGGGATGAATCCTGTGATGCTAGGCTACATGGTTAGCTCGGAATTGTTTATAACTTTCTGCATATTCGCTAAGCTTTTTTGTGTGACTAATATATAAAAACATTAAATTTAGTGTCTCCTGCACCGCCACCACTGCTGCCGCTGCTGCTCCTGCGACTCCTCTGGCTCTGGCTCTGGCTCTGGCTGTGGCTGTGGCCGTCCTTCTGATATCAGTAGCCGTACTTGTCCTGCAGCGAAGACATCACATCATTGGCCAGATTGCTGATGCGGCCGGCCACCTTGTGGACGCCTTGGCGCACACTTTCCTTTACACTCTCCACGTCTAGGTCGGGCGCATTAAAGTTCGCAGACGAATACCCTCCGCCATTCCCCCCTACAGAAAAGATATTTTAGAGGTCAGAATTTGCATCTATAAAAACGAATGTTCCCTCACCCCTGCCAACTGAAGATCCGTCGTTGAAATAGTCCGACGAGGATATGGCACGTGATCCCTGGAATCGATTCAGACTCCCGCCAACATCAGAGGAAGATTGCTCGCTGGCAAAGTATTGGTCGGAGCCAAAGCCCTTGGAGTTGCCAAACTTTTGTTGGGCTATTACGGGATCGTTGCTGGCGGTGCTTTTGCTTTTGCTGGTCGCATAGGAGGAAGAAGAGGTGGATGTGGATTTGGCACCCGAACCGCTGCTCGTCTTGGTCGACGCCTTGGGGTTGTCGTAGTCGTAGTTGTTGGCAAACATTGACGTAATATTGCTATGCGTTCCGCCTATGGGCTCGATAGTCTCGTAGCCCAACGCATCCAGCTCGAATTTGTCCAGTTTGCTGGAGCCTACAGCCGAACTCTCTCGCTTCTCACTAGAATGTCCTCCTGTGCCGCCTCCGCCTCCGCCTCCACTGCTATACAGCGAGTAGTCGGTGAAGAAATTATCATTCTCCAGCGAAGAAATTTTATTCTTGGGAGCCGCCGTCTGCTGAATGGTCGCCATGTCCCCGATGGCGGAGTGGGCCATATCGGAGCCACGCAGATTGAAGCCCATGCCCAGGCGCTCCATTTGCTTGGCCTTGGCCGGATCCATGGTCTTTAGCTTTGCCTCTTCGCGTGTCTTCTGCACGGATAGCTCCTGGTAGGCCAGTCGCATGCTGGCCACCGTCTCCAGCTCCTCTTCCGCAGTTTGGGGCTTGTCAACGGGCGCTGCCTGGACGCTGGACGTCTTCATCTCGTTGGCCGCATTAGCGCGAGCCTCAATATCGGCAAAGTTTGTCTTTACTTTTGTAGCTCCCAGACCGCCGCCCACCTTACGAGCTCCCAGCTGCAAAAGGAAACACACAAATTAATCGGGCGCACCTCTATATTGCTCGTGGAAAAACTTACCCCGCCCTTCTTAGGCTGTATCTTGCGCACCCCTATTGAGGAGGGCACGGAGGATGTCACCACCGAGTTGAGCAGATCCACGCTGGGGGCGCCGCCTAGCTGGCTCTCCAGATTAATGAGCGAGGGAGTCGGCTTCGTCTCCAGCTGAAAGGCAAACATTGATGAGCAAGTGGCAGGCATAGGTGACAGGCGAGAACAAATCAACTCTAAAAGCGCGGGCGTGTCTCCTGTGTGTCTCTCTGGGGTGTCTCCTACCTTGCTGATGTTGTTGTTTTCCGCATTAAAGTCCGCAGAGGGCACATTGTCATTGTCGCACTGTGCAAAGAAATCCTCCTCCTTGGCAGCCTCGTTGCCCTCGCTCTTGTCGACCGCCGGCTCCAGAAGATGCAGCTGTTTGGTGTTGGTGTTGTTGTCGGTGTAGGTGTCAGTTTCACGTTTGTGGTATATCGATTGGGATTGGGGTCGGAATCGTAGTTCGGAAAAGCGCAAAGGCATATTAGCAAAAGCAAATGTTAATTAGGTGTGTCAGTGTCAGTGTCAGGAAACTCCAGGCAAGAACAAACAAACAAGATGGTCAGAGCCAGAAGTGGAACTGAGAACTCACCTTGGTTCCGTGCACCTTCATGGCCTGTTGGGCCTGACCACTCAGCTTGTCCCGATAGAGCTGGGCCGCCCTGGAGTTATACTTGACCTGGGCATCGGAGCTGGTGCAGTTGTGGGAGCGGAAGAACTGCGAGGCGTTGGCATTACCGCCGAGCTGCATCTGGCGCAGCTGCTGCCACGTCCAATTCGTGTCCAGATTGGTGCTACGCACGAAAGTCAGGTGAACGCCCAGGTTCCGGTGGACGGCCGAGCAGTCGATGCAAATGAAGATGCCATACGTGACGGATGACCAGGTGGGTGCCTTGGCCGCGCAATCAAAGCAGGACTGAAAGCGGTGTTAAAGCGGGTCATAGGGTGAGTGTAGGGCTACTACTAATTGTGGGCCGAAGGGCAAGCTGCCAAAGTAGGGCAACTCACTTTATTTGCTGGCTGAGCACGCAGGCGACTGAACACCGACTCGAGGTCCTGCTTGGTGGGTCCCGCAGCGGAATTGGACATGACGAATACTGCACAAAACTCAATTGTTTGTTCACAGCTATGAAAATTGTTGACGTTGCCTGGCCGTTGCTCTTTCACCTTTGAAGATGTTGTAATCCCTGCCCCAATATCAAAAAGACCCTGTTTAGTTTAGTTTTAATGAGCATACACCCTGGGTGTTACCTAAATAAAGACTTTTAAATTAAATTCTTGAACTTTTGTACGTGGACATGTGTTTTCAGTGTGACCGCGAAGTTATCGATCAAAGATGCCGTCTGACCTTCAAAAATATTCCGCAAAAGGGTCTCTCCTTCTGAAAATATTCCGAAAATATACCGATGAGAATCAGATTCCTCGCTTTTGATATTCTGTTTCATATTACTAGCAATTTGAGACTCTCCGCGCGAAAACTATAATTTGATCCCATTACTGAACCGATTTTCTGTGCTCTGTGTTTGTTTTATTTGCTAGCAATATTAAAATCAAAATTAAATTAAATTTCCTATCATTCGGTTCATGGCGACCTCGTTAAAGACACACTTTGCATTTTGTAACTGAGTATTTTTGTATCTTGTTTTTAAAGTATTTTTATAAATCTTTACTTTCTCCAAAATGTCGAAAGAATCGGGTAACGAAGGTTTTTAACACGGCCGCTTCCACTAGCGGTCGACGAAAAAAACACAGCGAAACTTTTTTTCAAACGTACTCATTTCCTAGTGGGTGGCCCTGTTGCTAATAACTTAAATATGTAGTTAATATGTAGCAAAAATGTAGATACCATGTGAGCCGATGAAAATCTTATTTAACGATTTTGAATTTCCTTAATGTTTAATACCAGATAAAGTCGTAACATATATTATAGTATAATTAATAAATACATTTTCCACATTATTAGCTAGTTGTTATGACCTTTTTTTTTGGCTCATTTGATAAGTAAGGTTCAAACTAAAAAGGTAAAACAAAAAAATAAACGGCGTGCCACTAAGTGGGAATGAAATTTAAAGTGGCTTCAAATGGAATGTTGCTCCATGCGACCACTTGTTGATTGTTATCCGGTAGTTAACATGGTACGCGAGCGCTTACAGCAATAAATCATATTTATACGAGGGCCAAAAGTAGCTGAAACCTGAATATAACTGAATATAAAGTAAACGTTCACCATCCTAATAGGCTTTAGATGGTTGTACATATTGTCGAAATATATATCAAATCATGGTGATGCCTCGTTATTTGCCTTTGCATTTTTTATTACATTAACAATTTTATAACTTTCTTGAATGTTTTTGATAAAAGTTCTCTGCTTTTCGTGAGCCATCAACCAATATCTTTTATTGCAAGGTGTGTTACATAGAGCGGGTGTTCGATATTCCGAAAAGTTGAAGTGCTTAGCAGGGTGACCATTTAATCTGCATTATTTAAACCCAGTATGGGTTGATTATATGGGTATTATAATCCATTAATCTTATACTCGGTACTCATTTTATCAATTTATAAAGAGATAAACACACATTTTTATTGCGCCGGAACGGACTTATCCAATAAATAGTTTGGTGCTTTCTCCATGCATTGTTGTGTCCCAAGCTCCATATCTACTCTAAAATAACACACACAAATATCAAACGCAAAACAGTGTACTCAGAGAGCATGCACTTTGCGTATTTTGTTTATATTGGGCACAGAGCGAAATATACAGCACTTTCTGCCGCAAGAAAATTTTGCGCATCTGGGCAATGGGGTTGACGGTATACTTACAGTATGTTTTGAAAATGAAAGGGTATATTTCGGTTTATTGCGAGGGTCTGTCGGTATATTTTATCGATAGTTCCGCAGTCACACTGGTGCTTAGCACAATTAATTTTAAAAATCAAGGAATAGGCTCAAAAAATATGGTAAAATCACCATGGCTGGTATGTGAACGTGAATCTAGTTGGAAAACCTGGTCCAATTGGCGCTACAAAAGTCGTAACCTACAAATGACCTATAAAACCATCTATTTATTTATTTAGCGAGAGAAGAACGAGTCTCAGTCCCCGTGCCAAAAAGAAAACCCAATGGGCTTGAAGGAAAGAAACCAGGGATCGCCGAGCGAGGGTTATTTCGATATCACAGAACAGCATGTGCAGAGGTATATCAAGACTGAGCCGCATGACGAACAACAATCCGTGGATTTCGAACGGGATCCTTTCGACTTGCTGGCTGAGCTACTCGAGGAAGAAAACGTGCCCGTGTACCTTGTTGAAATGCCATTAGAGGCGCCACCACCGCCGTCTATCTCACTGCCCGATGATTGTTTTTTGTTTAATAGACGTGCGAACGTGGGAATTACCTCTCCCATGGCCAGTTCTTCCGTCAGCATCAGCGAACACCTGGCTCCGGAACCACCAAATCAAAGCGAAACTGCCTTGGACACAATGCATGAAATGCGCGTTCAAAGTAAAAATCGATCCCTTTCAAGGCGATCCAGTTGTTCTCAGCAAATAAAGAAATCTAGGCGTAGACGTTCTCGGAGTGGGTCTGCCAAAGAGCGACAATGCACTCCGACTGGGCCAGCACGCAGGAACAGAAACGAACGCAAAGGAGACAGGGCCACTTGCAGCCGTAAAGGGTCTTCCAATAACAGTTCCTCGATGGAAACTAAAAGATGCAACAAATCAAGAGCAAAGAGCAAGAGTACCTCAATGATATCTAGCGACACCAATAGGAATAGAACACGCAGCCCAAATAGAGCGTGCTCCAGCGATCGTGTACAGTTTCGCAAGAACATGTCATACGAAATGCGATGTAAATTCGAAGAGAATGGAAATGTATTTCGCCGTGGACGTTCTAGAAGTAGTTTATCGAACAGAAGAAACGGGCATCGACACAGTTTGAGTCCCATAAGATCACCGTCCAGAAGCCGACGAGAGTTTCCCAGATATATTCGTCGCTATTCCCCGAAACGAATGTCCCGGTGGCGATTTCTTTCTCGTGAGCCAACCAATAGCCCCTCAAGAAGTAGATCACGGCAACGATGTTCTCGACTGCGTCACAGAAGACACTCCAGAAGTAGATCCCGACAGCATTGTCGTTCCCGTGAGCATGCTACTCGCCACTCGTGCAGTAGATCCCGACAGCATTGTCGTTCCTGTGAGCCAGCTAGTCGCCACTCGAGCAGTAGATCTCGAAGGCATTATCGTTCCCGTGAACCAGTTACACTCCACTCGAGCCGTAGACCACGACAGCAATGCTCGCGCGAACCACCCAAACGCCCCTCGAGAAGTCGATCTCCTTCTGCTGTCAATGAAACCAGGATGACAGACACCCTTTCTCCTGTCTGCTCGGCCATGCCCAATGAGTACTTGCAAGCGAGCGGTTTTATACATCCATCTCTGGGACAAGCCGCACCAATGGCTCACAAGTCTCCAAGGCCGATACTACCCATAATAACCTGTCGATTCGGAAATCCAGGACCACCGCAAAGACATTTGCCGCAAATGCCAGGTTCCGTAGCCAGCAACCAAATGTGGTATACACAAGAGCATTATACTCACTTTGAGTACAGCACCACGACTATGCAAGATGGTACGAGCTGGCAGGCACCTGTCTACAACTGTGCAGGTGCAACGCATTCTACGTTGGGACCCCACGATCTACGCCACCGCCTGGGCTCGACTCTCTCTTTGCCCTTGGGCCCACACGACCTTCGCCACCGCATCCAGGGCCGCACAGAGTACAGTTCATTTCCCACGGAGCAGGAACACATGGCCCCCCCTTACAGTACAACTACGTTTGGCCAGACGGGCTATCCGAGTCAATATTACACAAATGGCTACTTATTGTGAATATCAAAGAATTCTGTATAATACTTATTTTTAATAGATGGTCAAGAACCGTGAACCGAGAACCGCTTTATTTTTTGCATTTTGATTCTACATCAGTGTCAATAATAGTATTATAGTATAATATTATTCTAGCGAGTTGAATTTAATTGTCCATTTGGGGCACGTGGCGGAATGCGGCTAATGATACGACGCTTCGGCTCTGCTGGCTGGAGGGAGAATATGGAACTATTAATGTTGCGACCGCAGCACCTCATCGAGGGTAGATCGCTTGGGGTGCCGAGTTCTCAGCAGGCGATGTCAAGTGGGTGTCTGGTTCCGGCTTCGGCTCCGACGCCTCTTTAGATTTGGACTTTAAAAATTCCAATAACCCGCCGTTTTTGCTGAAATCGATATCCGAAGACGACTTCTTGTTGTCGTTATCCATGGACCAGTAGGTTTGTGAAGTAGCGTTCGATGTGAATTTCAGGGGGCTTCGGCTCCCTTACGTCTTGGCTCGTCCCTTCCGACATTCTGCAAATGTGTGGGAGATTCGAAAGAAAAAGTAAACAAAAAGGCTCAGTCTGATCTGAGCAGCGACGCCGACACGAAGAACCAATAAAAGCAACCCTGAATGATCAGTGATGGAAAATGAATTTATTTTTAGATCGTCGTTACATTTGAAATATCAAAGTTGCTCGTGCTCATGACCATAGAAGAGAATGTCGGAGCCTTTTTAGATTATATTCTCCGAATCAATTGCTATATTACATAAATAAATTCCTCAAATATAGACGCGCTTCTACGGGTCAAAGTAGTCATGTGCTTGGCCAGGGATAATATGCAAAAGAATATGCGGCTGCAAAAATTACAGAAAAACTCCTGACAGGTGTGGCTGCTCTTGTACTTCCTACGGCATTTTCCACATCGTTTCACTACAGAGCAGTTAATCATATGTCTCCCTACAGAGTCCTGTAGGGGACAATTGGTTTTCACACTGAGCCCATGTTTCCTTTACAAATTTTAATTTGCCAAAATTTGTATGAACCGCCAATCGCCAATGTTGACAAACTTCGCCATAAAATAAGTGCTGTAAAATCGAACGACTCATGGCGGCGTCTCTTTTTTTGATTTCTTTTCACTTGTAATTCGCTGTGTCGCTAATTTTTATTTCTGCTCCAGAGATTTGAGCTGCGTTTAAAGTACACAATACACAATTGAAGTAAAGTAGAGGTTCGTAGGAGCATTATTGCTTATACCAATTTTATAGCTTATGCGCTTGTTCAACAAAGACTAATTCGTGCAGAAGCTTTTTTCGCTGCGTCGGCTTATAACAAATAGGTAAATGTTTGTGAAATTATTGTCTCCGTTTACATAAAGCAAGGATCCTCGCATTCATTTGATTCTACGAGGCTTTCGGTTTTTTTATCCGAATCGTTTCTTGTAAAATATTGGCGCTAGGCATGTGTGTGTGGCATATGCACATATGTATTTTTTGAAATATCTTAAGTAAAAACCGGCTGCAGCTCTTTTGATTGGTTTTTCAGTGCCCAAGCTGTCTCGTTTACGCTCACGTTTCCTGCTCATATTTACGGTAATCAGTTGATTGCTGCCATTCTTGCTTCCCCAGCGTATTATCCACGCCCCTAGCCCGATCTACAGGCTTTCAAAATGGCCTCGAAAAAGAGAAATGGGTTCATGGCGTTCGTCTCAGACTGGCGTGCAAACAACCCCGAGGGTCGTGCCCTAAACATTTCTGAGGCGGTGTCTAAGTGTGGGCCTTTTTGGAGTGTAAGTGTTATTGCGCGCCGTGGTCAGTAACGGTGTAAACTGGCGTCTCGATTTCAGACTATGAGCGAGCAGGAGCGTGGCCCTTACAACTCAATGGTTAAAAATTCCAACGTTCTGGATAGAGCAGCAAAGAAAGAACGACTCACATGTTTGGGCGATCCCGTCTCAAAAATAAAAATGGAGAAAAACGAGGCCATAAATGCGGAGCTTCAAATGAAGCGCAAGATCGATCGCATTATTTTGAACGCAAAGAATTCTTTGGGTAAGTCAATTTGTTCTCAATGAGAGTCATCAATAAAAATCTGTGCTGATTTTTGCTTGCAGAGTTGGAGAATGAGGAATTTGTGTTTGCCAGCTTCAATTATTTTACCAAGGCCCTGAATGCGGATATTCACGTACCCGGCGAGTTTTCCGCATGCCGCTACTCTCTGAAGGGGGGCGTAAGCTCCACTTACAGCACCATGATTAATCCGGGTAAGCCCAAAGTGGATGTGAGCCCAATGAGCTAGTCCACGTTCTCACTGCAATTTCTTCTCAGGTCAAATTACCTTTGGCCAGAGCAGCGATGCCCAACATCATTCGCTAACCACCCACAAGCTGCCCTTGCCGCCGAAGGCCATGGGCGAGACTAACATGAGAAAACTGTACATGGATATATTGAGTTGGTTATCCGTGGGCAATGATCAGAAAGACGAAAAAAAAGACCAGGATCCGGTCATTGTCTACACGACCGCAGAGCTAATGCCGGTGGTAAAGTCTTGCTTCCGTTATTTGGCATACGATGTCCCCACCGACAAAGATTCTCGAAAGATTGTGGTATATGACATCTATTACTTGTTTTACACCTTGAAGAAGAATGTGTTGGACATGGCTGGAGTTTCGAACGAAAAAATCAACTTCCATGTAACCAAAAACTTCTTTGCCAAAGACTTTTTTGAATTTACCGCTGATATTGCGTGCGACGTAAGTATCGAGTTGATGACATTTCTAGTTTATGTGAAGTGGCAAGCATAGAATTTTATTTCCAGTACCATGAGAACATCGATCGCTCCAAATACTGCACCAAGAGCATGGTCATGCGTTGGGGATTCATCTTTAGCGACTACATTTGCGCAGACCTGGCCATTCGGCTCCTGCCTGGCAAGCACATGCCTCCCAAGGTCAAGCCCAACTACACCGTCATTCCTGGGGACTCCTCGTCAAACTTTGATAAGACTTCGGTTGATTCATACTATTCGGCTCCATCCCAAATAAAAACGGAAATGGGATCACGTGATTTATCACCAACCAGCAACCGTATGGTATCACGTAATTCGGTATCAAGTTCCTATGTGCGCCGAGACTATACCACCTTCGACGGCGGGATAAGCAACGAAGGCGAATTTCCCAGTCTAGGTGACCGCCGTCCCAAGACTCCTGCCAAAAATCATTTCATTATGGGGAATGGTAAAAAAAATCCATTCTAATTGCTATTTACGCCCATTACATTACTTTGCTATCATCATAATCAGTTGTATTGTTGAACTCGCTCGCCCGCATCAAGGCATTTTTGTATTATTACACGTCCCTTCTGCGAAGGAAATAACATTCATTCTGTAGTCTTATTCCTACAGTTCAAACAAATATACATGTCTAATCGGCTATTGAACAATTGCCTCACAGCCGTCGGCACTGGGAAGAAGGGAACTTTTTGGGCTGCGCGAAACTGTTGAAATGCTCAACGGATCCTGCAGGAGAACGAGTCGTGCGAATGCCAAGTTAAGCAGAAAAGCCTGACCTAGCAGCTCACGCTGATAGCGTTCCAGCTGCGAGAACATGTTTCTCAGGTCGGCAGGGAACTGAACCTGACTGCGTATTCCTGCGTGTGCCTGCGGCGTCGCCTCTATCTGGTCTTCCATGTTGTAGTGGGTGCGCATCATGGATAGGATTGAGTCCTCCGAGGAGACCCTCTCTGTGCCCACCAAGTGGTTGAAGAGTCGTGCTGTGAGAAAGCGCCGCATGTAGTAGAGGTTGTTGCACTTGGTCGCGTCTGGATCAGCCCGGGACAGCAGGGCATAACTCAATATGGCCGTCACTTGGGATTTCTGTATGTTCACATTCTGCTGATCGATGCTGCCTGGATTGCTGCTTGCCTGAGCCATCTGTGGGTTTTCTAGAACATAGCAGTCCGCCTGTGGCATTTGGTGGGTCACGTACAGGCAGCGTCGGGCCAGCTCGGCCAAGTGCAGCTTCTTGTCGTTCAGCTCGTGATGCTGCCAATGGGTAAGACGGCAGGGCTCAGTGTCATACTTTCCAATCTCAAGTCGTGCCCAACTAACGCTGGTCACGCCTATGCGAACTCCCACGCTGGACACAATCCGCGTACGCTGTCCCTCGTCCATTCCAGGAGTTATGAAGGGAGCCGTTCGGGTGGACTTGGGTTTCTGGGTGCCTTTTACCTCGCTGCCCCTTCTAGCGCCCTCTGGTTCCAGTAGGCTTCTGAAGAACCTTGTTGCTACCTTCAGGCCAAAGCCCTCCACAAACAAGATGTCGTTCACATCACGCAGTGGACCATTGCGCGTCCTCCAGGAATGCAGTTTGCTGGCTCGCCCCTTGGTTATGTCGTAGCTGTGGTGTGCAGAAAGATTCTTGTTATTGACCGGGATAACTGGTGATGAGGGGGGAGGCTTGTGGTGCCATGCATACAAACCTGAGCATCTGATCGATGGTGGTGTCGTTGATCCTCGTAAGGATCTTCTGGCGCTCCTCATCAGTATAAGCCGGAAGCAAGCTGTTGGTCTGGTCATTTTCGTTCAAAACCGGTGTCCCAGCCGTCGAAAGGTTCCGCATAATTTTGCCGGGCAGACCCCAGAGTACACGGTTGTAAGAAAGCATATTTAATTTAATTTGTAAATAATAACATTGGGGAACATTGCGATAGTGTGACCGCGAACTTATCGATCAAATATACCGCATGACCTTAAAAAAACATACTCAAATATACCGAATCATTTTTAAAATATATAACCGTAAATTCCTAATCATTTTCCTGGGTTTTAATTGACTCAGTGCTGAGAGTCTAAAACTTTACTTTCATCCGATTGATGACTTAACTACTAACCAAATGGTATAGTGGTTTATACCATACTATACCATACTATTTGGTTAGTGACTCAACTCTGTAAATGTATTGTTTATAAAGTAAGGTCAACAACAAAAATGCAAAACGTAACGTAAGCGGGGTCGTAATGTTACGTCATTTGTTTCTTGTCCATTAATTAATGTTAAAATTCTGTTTTCCCATTCTTATCTTAGAATAGGATTATTTTAAGTCATATCCTTTCCATATATACATATCTCAATCTCGATGCATTCTCAGTTTTAAATGCAATTTTCGTTGAGATTTTAAACATATGTACCTTCAATGTTAAGAGTTTTGATTTTTAATAATGACACACAGTGCCGCTAAATGTTAGAGTTCGAAAATAATTTGCGTGAATATTCGTATGGATTTATTGTAGAGATTTCCTTTTGACTGGAACAGATTCAACTAAGAAATGCAAGTCCATTTTTGAAGATGATAAACATATTGATATTTACTTTAAATATTATTTATTTTTAATTAAACTTGTTCCATTTGAACACATGTGTGTATCAGCGAAGAAAATACATCCCTTGTCTGACTTGGTACCTCGATCCGGAACACTTTTATAAATACATAAATGTGTCGTTGGTTTTAATATTTATATTAGTAGTTCGCGAGCAGACTGTATAAAAATTAAAATTGGCGCCCCTGTCTTCTTACAGGAATACTTTATTCAAGTCATTTTAATTGGTAATCTGATTCTAGTCTAAGAATTGTACCTCTGTCCGTCGCTCAATGATCTGAACTGACAGCTTGGCAAATTGGAGCCTTCCGTGTCGTTCAGGAAACTAATTATATCCGCTTAGATTATGACCGAAGATATAGTACCGGATATGATTTCGTCAAAGTTGTCTTTGTTGTCCCTCCTACTTGAAAGTAGTTCTCGATCATCGCGGATGATGTGTCTGTCCCGAAGAAGGGTCACGATGCGATTCTTCACTAGGCGATGATCATTAATGGTTACGCATTTTGGACGTCCAACGACCTCTGACCATTGTGGGCTGACTACTCCGTTGGGCTTGTTGAAGTTGTCATCCTGTCGGAACCACAGCTCGCTGGTGTCCGTTCTAAGCAGCTTGGGCTTACCCTGCTCATTCCTGATCAGCTTAAAGTCGTGAGCCACAAAGACATTGGCTTCGGGAAGAAATAATTCATCCATGGGTTTCGATTCGATCCACAACTGCATACACTTTGCTGGCATGGGTGAAAAGGCGCATTCAGTGCCGAAACACTAATTCCGCTTGACGAAGGAAATGCCCTCGAAAGGCTCTTGCGAGGTAATCATTAGATTCAATTTAAAACTATTGAGGTGGCTGATCAGTTCAGACAGACCTTACTCTACTGCTGCTAAACTGACGCACAACTGATCGAACATTTTGAGAAGAGCTTTAAAACGGCAAAGGTGGCGGTCAGCCAGAATCGGATCGGCGCATAGAGGGTGTCGACCACCAATTCCAATGTGGAATGGTGGTACCAAGATGATCAGATCGTGTAGCCTAGCACAGGAGATCTTAACAGGGCAATTGAGTATCGAGAATTGACTCTGTCTTCTTGCAACTTTTCACTTACTTGTAAATGTTTCTGTCATTCTCCGATTTATACAGATCTTCCAGATACATGCATACGTCACTCGCTCCGCCATTCTAATGCGTTATTGCACAGTTTGTGTTGATTTTAATTTTAGTTTTTTGATTTTTTGTATACATAAGCATTTTGTAAGCAACTCAAATCATAAAGCTGGAGGCGGGAAGGCGCATCGCAAAATTTAGTGATAGTCATTTGTTCGATGGGATCATCGTTACAGATATGCAGGAAGGACGCATTTGCTATTGTCTGCATTGTTTTCGATCTGATCTGGTTGCTTTGGCAAACAAAAACTGACTAGGCATTTCTTCTCATGCTAAATGTCTTGCAGACTATATTGGTACTTAAATCTTATATTTTCCTACACCTTAATTGTAAGTTATTTCGTTTATCGAATCTGTATACACACGTCTAAAATGATATCGGATTCATTTCAATCTATGGAAGAGTTTTTATTATTCAAATCGGCCTGCTAAACAGAATTTCAACAATAATTACTTGAAAGAGGGTATAGATTGGGTCCATCCTCCACCAATAAATGGTTGGCTTGTATTTACCGTATATTTACTACGTAAATACTGAAAATTTTGTTGTACCTTCTTTGTTTAAACATCCTTTTTATAAACAATACAATGAAAAGAGAAATTTTGATATGAACCAAACGTGTAGAAAATTGATTCGTTCATCTGATAAAATTGAAGTTTCAGTGCTGAGAGTCCAAAATAGCTTGCGGTATATTCACGGTATATTTTGAAAATAAGAATGTACATTTCGGTATATTTTTGGGGGGTCAGGTTCCATCGACAAGTCCGCGATCCCACTGCCTCTCAGGTTGGAAGTAAACAAAATCAAAAAAGTTGAAAGTCTTCAGCATTGTCGGACACGCGTCGTGTTGCTTTGCAGAATAAATGAATCAACCCATGGAATCGTAAACTTAATTGAATTAAAACAATAACGGAGGCAAGCAACAACAAGTTATGAACAGACTCTCGGTTGCCTTGTCATTTCTGACACAAAATACACTCGCCTCGCATACATTATTTTAAAACTGTGACATTCAGTTGCAACAAAAGCGAACATCTGTGCTCCAGTGCCGATGCGGGTGCATAAAAGCGAAATTTCGTTTCGGTTGGAGAGCAAACAACGCAAAAGTTAAAGAGAAAACGAAAACGAAGAGGAGGGAATCCAAAGAGAGAAATCCCGACTTCCAGCGTAGCCATGACGACTAGCACCACCACCAGCAACAACAACACATACAGATATGCCAACAACAACAGCATCCTCGAAAAATCTGGGACCGCCTCCCCCATAGCCTCGGCGCCTTCCAACGCCTTCCTGGAGATGGACTTGACAGCCAGCGAAGGGAATACATCTGCCACAGCATCAACGCTCCTGCCTGTACAGGACTGTTCCGTGAATGTCAACGAGGATAGCACAGAGTGTGATACCTTCCTCATAGGCAGTGTGGGGAGCAGTAGAAGCAGCGGTCCGTCCAGCGGCAGTCGGCGAACGAACCGACTCTCATCCACATTGTACCGGGGCAAGATGCGCAACTCCTGCTGGATGCGCGCCCAATCATTCGTAACACGCAACTGGTACTTGGGCTGCCTGGTGCCCGCCTCCATCCTGGGTGCTCTGCTTTTCGTCGGCTGGATGACCCGCGACTATGCCAAGCAGCTACTCTTCTGGATAGAGACTCAGAACTCCTGGCTGATATTTGCCATCTTCATGGCCCTCTTCACAGTGGTCAGCTTTCCCGTCGTGGTCGGCTACTTTGTTCTGCTCATCACGGCCGGCTACCTCTTTGGTTGCATCCGCGGATGGTTCACCGTGATACTGGGCGCCAATCTAGGCATAGCCATTGCCCATGCCACCATTCGGAGCTGTCGTCATCGGATACCAGTGCAGAAGTAAGTAAAACTGGGGAGTCGCTGACTGTTGAGCCCTTAAGGTAGGGGGATTTCATAATGGAATTTGCTTGTGGAATCCACCATTGATAACGGCAGGCACCGTATCGAGATATGTCGTTAAATGACCCCATACGGAACTCGGCACTAAAATCCGATTTATCATTAATGCAATGCCTGATGAGGATGGTTCTCCGCGACTACACTAAATATTTCGTTGGTTTATGGTCCACTATTGCAATGACAGTCTAATTGTCGTGTTTCGCAGTCTGTCAGCTGTCGCCTATTGCTGCGTTGGTCTTATCAGGCCTTACCACTCGTACGACGCATACGTATTTATAAATACATATTCGTATTTATTGTGAAACTTGGAGAAATAATGGCACAGAGCGAAAGTTGATAACGACAAGTTTGTACACTTCCGCACATAAAGCTGTGAGCGGGCAGAGGGGAGAGTGCCACAAATTCCATAATTGTTTTGTTTGATTTACCAATTAGCGACACAATACTCCCTCGTACTTACAAACTTTGGGGGGTAATGTAGAGTATGCGAGCACTCCAATCCATCAAAAATGATTTGCGAGTCATGTAGGCCTACGTAATGACTGGTTAATCAAGTGAAAACATTGCCCCACTAAAACCTGGTCAGGGGGCTATCATTTATATGGAATGGTAAATGGGTGGACGGGTTTACTGCCCCTCATAATTGGGCAACAAACCCATAATTGATGATTGCTTGGATAAACGCAGACAGTGGCGGCATGTCGGGAAATAGATATCTTTTCGTTCGTATAAAAGTACATATGTTAAATTTTATTTGATTATAGATTTTTTTGTGTGTCTGATGTGGCCCCCCCTTATATGCCCCACTGATTTGTTCAGTTCAATTTCATTCTATTTTCAGGCTGGTCAAGAACGATACGGGTCGGGCCATACTGCGCGTGATATCTGGACCGAGGGCCTTTCGTGTAGTGCTCTTCACCCGTCTCACGCCCATTCCCTTTGGACTGCAAAATGTGATATTCGGAGTAAGTGATCAGATCTGAATTGACGATGGGTCACATGCGTTTCTTGAACTACTCAGAGTTAGTTCTCAGGATCCGTGGGTCTGTGTGAATACGCAATGAGTATCACCCTGTTTGCCAGTTTGCCAGTTTGCTTTGGCTGAGAACACCTGAGTCAACCTCATATGATATTCAGTCACACTTATCGTTAGTCACACTCTTACCTAGCCCCATCATTTATTCATAGTCGTCCCGTAAATGTCGCTGGAGCAAATACAATTTGAACTTGAAATTAAACAGGTTTCCCCACCTCCGTTCAGCGCTTCAGTTCAACGATATATCTCAAAGGTACATATATTATAGCCACTCTGGTCTTTTACAGATCAGTTCTATCAACACGAGGGATTACCATTTGGCCACGTTGCTGGGCCTGCTGCCTGCCCAGACCATCAATGTCTACCTGGGCTCCACTCTGCGATCCATGCACGAGGTTCTCAACGACAACGACACCAAGCTGACGGGCTACATTAGCTTTGTGCTCGAGGTGAGTTTCCTCCTCTTACGCCGGTTCGGTACTGCTTACCCATTGAGTTTTTGCGTGCTTACCTTAAAGTTTGTCATTTTGATTAGTGCACAAAATTGAGGAGATAAGTTTGGCTAAAATGTTCTCACGAGTTTGAGAAAAGAGCTTAAGGTTTAGAATTGTGTCTAATTTTATATGAATTTTCCATCATTTTGATCTATGGTTCCAATGCCACCCACACATGTATTTACATATGTACAACATTTGGTATTTGTATATTTGCTCTGCTTCAGGAGATTCCATTGCACAACGCTCATGAAAAAATCTCCGTTAGACGAAATATGTAGCAGCTAGCTTCTGTGGTGTCATAGCAGACAACTCTGATAGTTTCATAGCACCTACCTTTGTTGGACTTTGTTGACTTTGCTTAGAAGGTAACTTTAACTATTGTTATTTCGTGTCCTGCAAAACTTTGTTATGAATTTATATCTCCAAATACCTCTAAACTGATTTTTTAGTTAACTTATTTTAAAGGTAACTCCTTTCCCTCAATAGTCATTTCATTTCACACAGATCCCAAAGGAATTAATAAAAATAAAATATTTGTATGGTAAATATTCTTATAAGCATGTTTCCTAAATTTCATAGCATAGTTTTTGGGCTGAACTTGGGTGTAGAATTATTATAAAGTGAATATAGAATGTACATATCGAGTCGGCTTCCAATCACTAATCGAATACCAATGCTCCTTATATAAACATAGAGATATACAATGATTAAAAGAGTGTCATAAGAATAGTCTTTTAAGTAAATAATTTAATTAGCAAATTGATTAGCTTATTGGATGTCTTTAAATAAGCGCGTCAGGTTTTATATACATCCAAATGTATTTAATAATAGTTGATTCTTATTCTGTAGAGCAAATCTGCTTTATTTACCAACATGAGACAGAATCTAATGCTTGGTAGATTTTCGGAAATAGATTCGATGTTCGAATGTTCGAAGTTGCCTTGATATCAATTTGGATGTGTTTTTCGTTTCTTAGCGACAGCAAGAATTGCCTGAAAATCCTTTTTAGGCATCACATAAACACATAGCTTGTAAATTTGATTTTATATCAGCTATGTTCTTCATTTAAGGTTATCTGTGGCGTAATTCTGATGTTTTGGGTGGTGCAGAAGGCGCGCAAAGAACTCTCCGAGACGCTGCTCGCATCGGAATACAGCAGCAGCAGCAACGAGGGAAAGCATCCGGCCATCCAGGTATAGCAAAGCGCCTGTGAGGAGGATTGCCTGCAAGCGATCCCCTAGAACTGCCCGATCCCCGACTGAATCTCCACAGGAGTCGCACAAGACTGCAACTGTGCATTAATTAGTTTTTAGAAGTGGAACTGGAGTTGGATTGGTTGTAGGTTAAGAGTAACTTGCAGAGTTCAGGTGATGCCTTTGATGCCAAACATTAAGCTAATGCTACCGTTATACTGCTACGGATAACGGTTTATTGATATTCTATCCATGACACCGTATTTCACACATCCCTCACACACACACACACACACACACCACACAGTGCTCAGACTAAGGATTTATATATACATATATATACTAGTATTAGGAATATCGAAAACTATGTCAAAGAAGCCTCGCTCTCGCGGTCATAATGCTGCTCTATAAACGTTGTTCAATTACTAGCGGAATAAGCTTAGCCAATAAATGAGCCAATCTGAAGTACAACCAGGCTAGCAGCTCCTGTTTTGGGCCTGGCCGTATCTCCAGCCGCGTAGTCGCTTGCTCATGTGCTGCTGGAAGGCGGTCTCGAGCGTATTAAGAGCTAACTCCACGTCGTCGAAGCCCACGCAGAGCGGAGGCCTGAAACTCAGCACCTGAGAGTGGGAGTAACAAGAGGAAAGAATGTCAAATGCATGAGCTCTTTAAGAAACGCCACCACACACATTACGACTATGTATGTACATACGAATGGGTTAGCAGAGGAAGTGGTTAGAGGAACAGGAGAATATTAGATCATGACTTGATATTTGTTTTTATTTCAGTTAATTTTGTTAATAAATGCATTCGTTTGTGACCTGAGAACCCTGAGAAGTCATCTCTCCTTCACTGGCGGCTGCAGCTGCACGCCCTACTTCTTCTTGGCCAGAGATGCCGTGATGGCTCGGTCCAGCACATCCACGGCAAACTTCACATCCGATCGATCGATGCACATGGGCGGCTTGATGCGCAGGACCTGTGGAGATGCACGAAAAGGGATGCACAGATAGAGACGGAAAGAGGTGCGATTTGCCCCGGAAAGAGCCCCCAAAGAGGAGCGGCGAAGCTCTGGCTCTATGCTCTGGGAGCCCCTTCCTTAGCGGGGACTTGTGCGTGCTTTGTGGTTAGTCAGATGTGCCCAAAAATGGAACGGAATATCCCAGATGCGGATGCACTCATCACTCATGATGGATGATTTGTACTTACGTTGCCGTGGAGGCCACCGCGTCCGAAGAGCACACCAAGGTCCTTGCACGTCTCCCAGATCTCCAGCACATGGGGAGTGGCCAGGGGCGTGCGCTTCTCGCGATCTTCGACAAGCTCGACGCCGATCATCAGTCCCTTGCCCCGGACATCGCCGACAATCTCGAAGCGTTGCTGCAGCTCCTCCAAGCACTTGAGGAAGTAGGTGCCCACCTCCAGGGAGTTGCGCTGCAGCTGCTCCTCCTCGATCACGTCCAGCACGGCGATGCCCACCGCACTGGCCATGGGATTGCCTCCGTAGGTGTTGAAATGCAGCGCCTGCCCTAGGGAGGCGGCTATCTCGGGGGTGGTGACGACGGCGGCCAGGGGGAAGCCGTTGCCAATGCCCTTGGCCATTGTCACGATATCAGGCACATAGTCGTGTCCCTCGAAGCCCCAGAAGTGCTCCCCCGTGCGGCCGAATCCCGTCTGCACCTCATCCGCCACGAAGAGTCCGCCGTTGGCCCTGACCAGAGCGGCTGCCCGCTTTAGGTAGCCCTTGGGGAACTGCACTGTGCCGCCCACTCCCTGAATGGACTCTGCAAACATGGCCGCCACCTTGCCACGGGGCAAGCTGTACTTGAAGGTCTCCTCCAGCTCTTTATAGTACTCTGATCCTGCCCGACAGCCGCCGCCCTCCTGGCAGTGGCAGCTGCGCGTCGTCTGCACGGGCGAGTCTCGACAGGCGGCGCCGCCCCAGATGCCTTGATACGGATCGGGATTCATCACGTGCACCAGTCCGTTGTTCACTCCCGCCAGCGGGAAGCGCCAGGTGGAGTGGGCCGTCAGGCCCATGGTGTACGGCGACATGCCGTGGTAGGCATTGCGGAACGAGAGAATGTCCTGGTTGCCCGTGTGTACTCGTGCCATGAGCATGGCCAGATCGTTGGCCTCCGAGCCGGAATTGACGAAGCAGACGCTCTTCAGGTTGCCCGGGAACTTGGCCACCAGACGCTCGGCGTATTCGTGGATCTTGGGGTGCATGTAGATGTTGGTCGTGTGCCACAACTTGGAGATCTGTTCGCTCAGCGCCTGGTTGACCTTGCTGCTCCGTAGGGGAAGGGAAGGGGAATCCAAATGAATGACAGTGAAAATCGATCTTAAGAGATTTGTTCTCTTACGGATGACAGTGTCCCACGGAAACGGTAACAATGCCCCCGAACATGTCCAGATAGCGACGACCCTCGTGGTCGTACAGCCACTGCATGTGGCCCTCGTGGATGACCAATGGTTTCTTGAAGTGGGCCACCAAATTGGGCGTCAAATGGGTCTTGCGCGTTTCAAGGATCTGCTCGTAGCTGGGTCCCACGTAGCCACTGGGCCGATGCCCCGTCTCGGGCATCTCGCTCTGCACGAGGTTCATCACGGCTGGAGCCGCCTTGGAGTGGAGGGTGGAACTAGAGCTGAATCGGTTCGAGGAGGAGCTCGGCATCACCCGCCTCGTGTGAGCTGCACGACAGATCGGACCAGTTTTTATTATTAATTAGCATTTACGGTGAATGGGATCAAGATGCTACTATCAGAACACGTGACGTGACCCTCTGCTACGCCTGTGGGAGAGCCAAGGCACACTTGTGGAAGTGTCGGCGCGAACCTGATGAAATGCAAATTGATGTGTGGTCAGAGCATTGGACAAGCGGAATTCAAGTGCGAGGTCGCCGGGAACCGAACACGTATTGTGAGAATCCATGAAATGAAATGCGATGCGAGTACAGTGAAACCTCTGCCAATCGAACAAAAAGTTGCATTTTATTTTTTATGCCGCAATTTCCCATGAAATGCTAAGATTCCTTGGACCATTTATTTTACGAATGATCTATTCCAGGCATTATCTTTTGAGAGTGCCCTTCCAAATGGGTTAGTACTGTGCCATATGTATTATATAGAATTAATTGATCCGAGGCGCAATTTGCTATGCAAAGTCTGCCAGCTGAAACTGCACTTGTCCACATACAAGTGCTACACGCAGGAACCTGAACAGACTTTCAACAGTTCAATGGCACGGAAGAATATCCAAAATAAAATGTACCCTACATGCACAGGAGGGTAGGGTATTCCCATTCGCATTTCTAAACTTCTGGCTGTTGTCCTCCTCTAATGCGCAGTTGGAAGCATAATTGAATGTACGACTATTAATAGTCTTACGACTTGCCCCCATTTGAGATGATAAGCGGCTGGCCTGGCCTGGCCTGGCCCCCTGCGGACAGCCTAGGCCACTCGAACAAACAGTGTACCTCGGTACCTTGGGAGCAGAGCTGCTCCATCCACCTGCCGAATTATCAACTTGCGCCTTATCAACACACACTCAAATGTTTGGCCATATAGATCCAAAGCGGCGATGGTGCCACGCGAGTCGGTGCGTGATAAAAGCATGATTAGAGGACAGCAGCCATAGATAAGTTGTACGTAGATGTGAAAAATATCCGTGATCAGACGATGCATTAGTTCAAATGAGTGAGAGTGAGGTGCGAGGATGAATGAATGGGTGAGTGGATGTCCCAAGGGTTCATCCAACATTATATTTTGTTACATTAAAGTTGATCCCAAGAGATTGGAATACAATCTATTGCTGACGTCAGGAATTAGTTGAAGCGATCCCTGCCTTGTCAGACAAAAACTCACCCAACAAGCGCTTGGACATCATATTTATTCACGTTTCTGGTGTGCAACACTTTTATTTCCTGATATGATCCGTTATAGAAGCCGCTCCGACTGATCTCAATGCCGGTGTCGATCTCACACGAAGCCAAAGCTGAAAACCCGTCCGCGCGTAACGACGTCGACAAAGCAACTAAACTGTGGAGGTGCCACTGCCAGAGACATTGGCTCGGCTGTGATCGTTCGTGATAAGCGCTGTCATAGCTTCGGCTGGGTAATGTTATCTGTGTTTGAGCAGAGAGAGCGGACCCTTCAATGTCAAGGTTGTGTTGGAAAGCTCTCACTTTTGTTTGGCGAGGTGCGGTGGGCAGGTGCGGTTTTCTCATAATTTATTTCAATTCTTGTTTGCTGTGTACTCAAGCAGCACAAAAACAGAAGTGCGCACAGGTAGTCCTTTGTTTTGTTTCTAACAAAAAATATATCTTCTTGCCATGGGATCTGTCCAGATTCCTTTGGATGATCCCTCGATTCTGGCTTGCAATGTGCAGGTTATTCTGCTATTGGAATTAACATTCGGTTTTAATTTACATTTACATTTGTTTTTCTTTTCTGGTTTTCTTTTTGATATTCTGTGTGACTTTTCTACCAATATGCTACAATACATTGGTTTATATCGCTATAGTGTAATTTAATATAATATATGTATTTTCCTTTATCAATCAACATCACGAGTTTGCGCTTTGATTCTCACATTGTCCATCCTTTCGACCCTTACACCTATCCGACCTAACGCAACCCTTTGCAAAAAATATACGAGACGACCAGAAACATAAACTATGCGCGGGGGCGGGTTTTCTCTAAAAACAAGCTCTAGGCGGCATCCGGGGCCTGCAATTATTACACAAACAACAATAACCGAAACACAGGAGGAGCAGCTGCTGCTCTTTCCGAGTTCTGTTCAATCTTCTGCTGCTGCTGCGGTGGTCGCTCAGTTGAATTCGGGATACAGATCTGGACTTCTTGGTGTGGCTGTTGACTGTTCGAGGCTGGCCGCAATCTGGCGCAGATTTTCCACGCCAGTCAGCAGTTGCCTGCAAGACGAAAGACGGAGGGAGCGAATTATTTAAAAGGCAGTCGGCAGGACCCTCCACTGCACTCACCTTAAATTCTGTTCAGCATTGTCGGCGGCACTCCGTAGATCCCGCGACACTTCATGCGTTCTGGACGGACGCGTTGTGCTACTCACGCTACTGCCAGTGCCACTGCCACTGGAACCACCAGGAGTCCCGACGTTAGCTCCTCCCATGGCGCCATCCGTGCCACCACGCAGAGCAAAGAGTTCCGCCTGAACAAAAGACATAGGATAAGAAAGGTCCCTTTTGGTTTTAGATTCAAGACTCACCTCCAACTGGGCAACCTGTCGTCGCAGACGCTGCGTGTTCTGTGTGTTGGCCGTCGTGGCTAGCGTCTCTCGCCGTCGCGAGGCCTCCGATAGCTGAAGAAGCTGCTGCTCAAAATCGTGAGCTCTCCTGGTCTGAGCATTCAGTTCCACTCGAGTCTCTTGCAGCTCACGCTGCAGTCGTTCGTTCTCCTGGCGCATTGTCGACAGCTGCAACGGGCCGGCCGCCTCCTGGGGCGGCGAGTCAATAGAATTGGATGGCAGCCCAATGGCCACATCAGCCAGGCGCTGGGACGAGTGAATGATGGGGCCATCGGAGAGGAAGTCGGGCAGCATTTTGGCTGTGGAACCAGCGGACGGCCCTGGGCCTGACTCTCCCGACGATCCACCTGGTGGACCGGGCAGGGAAGCAACACCAGGCAGGCCAAGCGAGGCAAGCGCTGATGGCAGCAGGCCGCCACCAACTGCGTCGCTAGGAGCCTCGGCAGCACCCAACGGAGAGTTTGGTGGCGAGCGCAGGTGTGCATCCTGTACGGCGCACCACGCATCCGGCAAGTGGTCCTGCACAAAGTCTGGCAGCGCGGCTGCTGCTCCGCCTCCACCAACAGCACAACCAGGTCCGGATGCTGTCATGTTTGATGTATCCAGGGGCAGGTCCAGCTTCATTTTGGGAGCAGCAGTCAGAACCAACCGGTTGGGACGCAAATCCCGATTTCCGGCCGGTCGTCGTCGAGGCGAGGATGAGGGGCATGGAACATGGGGCGGCATGTCGTAGCTGGAGTAGGAGCGCGGCACGTACCGCGAGCTGGAACTGCTTGAATTCAAATTTGAGGATGCCGACGGAAAGATGTCTGTCCGTTTGGAGAGTTGGATAAAAAAGTCAGCTCAGTTGGGGATCCTTTTTAGGTTTTAAGTTTAGATCCACTCACCATCGTCTATGCGCTCGTCGAAGAGCTTGTTGTTTCGCACCTGGGCCAGAGATACGTGATCGTCGTCGTCATTGTCTAGGGCATGGACATCATCATGGCCCAGCCGCAGGTCCGGGCGCTGACGGGATCCGCTGCTGCTGGGTGCTGCAGGTCCTCCTCCACAGGCCGCGTACTCGGCCAAACTCGCCTGCGAGTCAAAGGAACTAAAGCGCGGAGAGCGCTTCATCTTGGAGGAGGCACTGCTCCCGTTTGCGTCCGGTGGCTGCATGAGCGAGCCCGAGGTCGACTGCGGCACCTTGGGCCGGGCTCCCGTCGATGTCTGAACTGCGGCTGTAGTATCCACTGACGTTACCGTGCTTGAGGGCGCGGTCACAGTGCCACTGCTGTTGAGAAAGTGCTTGAATGAGAACGAAGACGAGGAGAAGGAGCTTCCAGTGGCTCCCGTGGAAGCTCCGGTGGATGTGCTGGCCCGTGTATTCGTGAAATCACTGCGACTGCTGCCGCTGCCAGACAAACTCCCATTCAGGCAGAGGTCCGCCACCAGGTCGTTAACTCCTCTGGATGACGACGAGCATGGCTCCTCCCTCTGGGGTCCCTTGCCTCGACCTGCTCCTGTCAGTAGGGACTGCTGCTCCTTATGTGGCGCTTGTTGCTCCTCCTGGGTAGCCGCTGTCGCATCGTTAGCACTGCCATTTGCCATTTAATTGCACACACTGGAGCGTGCACTGCGAGTCGACTGCTTGGAATCTCGTTTGTCACTCTGTTGAATGAGTGAGTGTCTGCACTTCCTGCTGTCTACGACGTTGTGTTGCTTCCTTTGTTGACGCTTTTACTCGTCTTTTCTAATTTCTCATCTCATTTCCCTTTTCTCTTGGTTTCTGTGCAGATTTGTGAAGGCAGATTCGCATTTTACAGCACTGGGGAAGCATCCACTCTGCGATATCTTCGCCCTAAACATTGCTGGCCACACCAGTATGCATAACGATGTCTTCCACCCATCGATAGTTTTAACAGACAACTGATTTCAAAACTGTAGACAAGTACCACTAACCAAATATTATAGTTTGTTAGTATACTATACTATTTGGTTAGTGCAAGTACTCAGATGCGATAAGTGGTTCGGTCGACCGAATCAGGGATAATATTCGTATGAAAACAATTGGAAATCATCCTTGTTTTTTGTTCGACAGAAAATTTCGCAGCCAGCTTTTCGCAGTTGTGTACTCAGATCATAGAAAATATACCAAAAAAACAACCGACCTTAATCTCCGATTGTGAACGGAAATATATAAAGTTACTGGTGTTCAAAGAAACTCAACGAATTAAAAATTCAAATAAATTGAATATCTTCTCATTCATTTTTTTTAAATGGTTTCATCTTGCTCCTTTTTTATTGGCCTCAAGCCACTTTGTCGGGTTTTTCCCACCATGATATTGAGATTCTACTTTATGTTTGCTAGGTACCCTGGCGGAACATGGAACAAATGTATCTTTTTCGAGCTGCTAGCAAAGTGCCATCGAATGCCATAAAATACCATCGGTTGATTTTTTTGTTTTTCATCGGCAAGTTCTTTTTTCGGTTCTGAGTACTGCATTCAGAAAGGGTTTTGTGTTCGACAACATTTCTTATCGGTTAAATACGAATATCATCCCTGATTTTTCTAGCGGCTGGTGGTGATGGAACTTTTCTTAAGTGGTCACAAAACAAGAACCGATGTTTACACCAAAACAAAAAAAATCGACTAGTTCGATGTTTTAATCGAATTTTTCCCAGCTCTAACACCGTGTATATATAAAGTAAATAAAGTAAATAGAATAAAACAAAACGGTGTCTGCGCGTCGTAACGTAAGCGCATTTGTTGTAAATGTAAATGCAATAAAAGCGAAAGGCAACAACGAAACCACGGAACTTACCGCCTCGGCAACGATTTGTATAAATTATTGAAAAGTGAACGGTGGCCAGAGTTATTACAAGACAAGTTTTATTGTTTTGTGTGTAAAGAAAATTCTGCGTAGCAAACAAACCGGTCGGCGCTCTTTAACACACACATATGCAAACAAAAACCCGTATGTGCTCGGGGAAAAAGCGCTATCAAAGTCGAGGAAACGCATTTCGTGTGACACAAACAGCACTGAGACATTGAATTTATTTAAATATAGTATTTGCTTGCCATATCCATAATTTCTCGGTGTCAAGCAGACGGCGACGCAAAAGGCGGCCATATGCGACTGCCGCCCCTTCTGCTGCGGGGGTGAAGGTGAAAAGGTGGGGTGCTCTGAAAGCTGTAACTGAAATGTTTGCCGTTCGCGTATTATAAATTGTTTTTGCAAACACAAACAAGCAGATAAAGGAACACAACCAACTGCCTTCTCCCTCTTTTGCTGGAATCGTGTGTTCCACTTTTGATAGGCAGAGAGCATCGCCGTCACCACGAGCAGCGACGCGACGCACTGTCCTGATTTCCTCTGCCACCAGGAGGCAAGTGCAACCAGGACAAACTTCTTTCGTTCGGGCGGGGCGTGTGCTCTGTGGTGTGTGCGTGCGGTGAGCGGCGTGGATGGTTCAAGAGATTCTGGGCCAGGATAATTGCGAAATGCATGAGAGCTGCTCCAGGTAAGCAAATAAAACCGACTTCCAATTAGACATTTCCCATTAACTGAGTACATCTGCATCTTGTCCTCCTTTCGTTCCCACACTCCTCTCGACTCTGCGTTTCAAGTGGGAAATGGGAAAGCAGCAATGGACGGGACGGGTCGGGCCTCGGCCCCATTTATTGACTTGTCTCTCTCTCTCTCTCTCTCTATCTGTCCTTGTTCCTCTTGGTGACTTCTTTGCTGGCCTCTTGGCTTTTCGCCCTGCATTTCCACACGCGTCGGCCTTTGCCTTTCTTGCACGTCGTTGCACGGTGGTGCCGAATAAAACATTTGTTAAGAATTTTTAAACGGACTTAAACGGTTACTTGTTTAGAAATAGCCGTACATGATATTCATTATTACGAATTTACCATATGTACATACATACATATGTATACCCATACATCTGTACATATAATGTTGAGCTCAACAATTTAAAACTGTTTGAAAAGCATACTTAAAGGGTATACCAATAATAAATTAGTCTTTTCTAAATTAGCCATATGGTGTATGTTTATGTGTATATTGATCAGTAACTAATTAACTCCACTGTGCGCGCCGGCCTTTGCCTTTCACGTCTGTCATTGCTGCTGCTTCTTCTTCTCTTCTCTTGCGTTTTGTATACAAATTATGGTGTTGTTGA